CGTTCGGGACATTTTGGAGAAGCATGTGATGCCCTGGACCCAAACGCATTTCGGTGGGCAGAAATGGGTCTTTCAACATGACGGAGCAGCCGCCCACACTGCCAAAACTACTCAGGAGTGGTGCCAGACCCATTTTCCCGACTTCATCAAGTCATCCGAATGGCCTGATTGCTCCCCAGACCTGAACCCGCTTGACTTTCCCGTGATGGGGTCTTGCAGGAGAAGGTCAACGCAAAACCCCATTCAAGTGTAGAGGCTCTGAAGAAGACATTACTGGCGGAATGGGACAATCTTTCCATCGAATACCTGCGTACCACAGTCGCATCCTACCCGAAGCGTTTCCGTGAAGTCATAGCTGCGAAAGGAGGCCGAATCAAAAAGAGTTAATAAATAAATATTTGTTATACTATAGATAAAAATATTTTGAGTCTCGTTTGATTTGGACTTTTAGTTTCAGAAATATACGTCTTCAAAGTTGTGCGGGAACTTAAATGACACCCTGTACATAGTATGGTGCAGAGCAGGGCTGTGCGGCAATCGGAAATTTCGGCAATCCGGCAATTCGGCAATTTGCCAAAAATCAAAATTTCGGCTATTAAATTTTTTCCACGATAATTCGAAATATAAATACCGAATTTTCACGGTATCCCAAATTATTCAATGGACATTCCTTTTTGTTTCGCCGATTTTTTTTGACACCAAATTGCCGAAAATATTAATTTCGGCAATCCGGCAATTTGCCGATCGAACGCTCTCATTGCCGCACAGCCCTGGTGCAGAGTAGTGGCTCTAATTATATGTTATAGTAGTTCTTACAGAGGAAATTGGGAGTTTTTGGTGGAACAACCTCACGAATTGAAAAACTGCCAAACAGAAAAATTTTGTGTTTATGGTGTTTTTTGAGGCTACTCCTCCCCTAATTTAAATAATCATTTATTTTTCATTTCTACGTACTCCGATCCCGCAATCAACTCTTATACTCTGTTGACTAAAACGGCTTTATATTTGCTAAAATCGGCTTTCTATTAGCTTAAAAAATCAGCTTTCTTTGAAAAAAAAAGTGTATTTTAATTTAAAACATTGAGATTCGCAATAAAATTCAATTTAAAAATTAAAAAAAATCGCGAGAAACATTGAAAAAAAACCTAGAATTAAAAAACCAATAATAAAAATAAAATAAAATTTTTCTACGACTACTTTTCGTCAATGAGGAAGAAGATGAAAAATAAAACAAAAATCGACTGTCCGGAAGTCTAAGGTTTATTTGAATGAAGATGCAGATGTTTTGATAGCTTCAGGTGAATTATTTGATTATGAAATAAAAATGAGATAAGTTGAAATCTGAGTTATTCTGAACGTGGGTTGACTGCAACAAATCTACTGACAGGCAATATATTTTTGCTCAAATTCATCAGGTGGTTTTTCCAGGCCCACGAAAACGAAGTTCGAGAAAGTAACTTATAATCCAGAAATTCCAGTAAAGACTACAAAAAATCAATTAGTCCACGAAAATAAATTCAAAAATACGAATATTCATTATGTTGAAATATCTCGAAAAAACTGCTTATCACAAAAAATATCTTCAATAATTCTATGACGTTTTTTTTTTTAAATATTAAACTATGTTTAATAAAATTTCAAATGAAAATGCTCTTATTGAAAATATATTATGAAAAATTTCAAAATCTCGCCGCTGATCTCAATTCAAAAAAAAAACGATGTGACAAAGAACTACGTATAAGACGATTTCAGTAAATTCTTGAAAAAGGTATGCTACAGTATGATTAATCATGGGAACAACTATGTCTCAAATGAATATTGGTCGAGCATTTTTTAAAGAAATGAATCGCTTTTTGAGTGTTTTAAATTTTCTGGTTTTTTTTCGGAAATGCTCAGTGTTTGTTCATTGGTTGGAAACCCTAAAATGATCATGAAATGCCTTTGTGAAAATAAATTTAATAAAATGTTGGATTAATTTTTTTTTATTTCTCGAAACAGACAGGCTAAAATGTAGTGAGAAAATTGTAAGAAATTCAATAGATATTAGGGATTCTGGCGCAGAATAAATAAACGATCGACGAAATCTTGTAGACTGTGAATTAGTTATTCGACGGTAGGAACTTCCTTGATTTGAGCACCGAATTCAGAAGTCACCGATAGTTCTCAAAATTAAACCGACGAATGAAGATAAGAAGTAATAGTGCTCCTTTTAAACATTAAAAATTCAAAGGAATTCATATTCAGGAAATTGGAAATTTTGAATTTTTGCATTTTAAGCAACAATTTGAATAGGATCATGTTTGCAAGAACACTAGAAGACCATGAATTTTGACCCACTCTAGAAGGTCAAGTTTTTCCATTTTGTCAAAATTTTAACTTGGAAAATTTTAATATTTGCATATTTTGACCAATAATTAGGATCGTGTTGCAAGGATGTAAGAATGGTCTCAAAGAGCATCGAATATGTGCTCTTTGAAAGATCAAATTGTCCCACATTATAGAATAATTAAATAAATTGTAAAAAAAGCAATTATTATTTTAATAATAAAACATGAAATAAAAATACATAATAATAATAGTCAACTCTCAAGTTTGAAAAGCAATATTGAAAAAACTACAAAACGAAGGCATTGCATAGGAAAAATGTTGTATTATTATGTTTTTTCTTTTATAGTGAATAAACTATTACATATTATTAAATAAATTTCAAAAGTATTACAACTAAAAAAGTAAAACGGCGACCTGGCGCATTTTTGTGAGTTGATGAGCAACGCTCCGCTCGTAATTATAAATTCCAAAAAAAATTATAAATTCGAATGGAAAAATACTATTTCTTATTGTAAAAACTATTTTCTTTTAAATCTTAACAAAAATATAAAACTATTTCATGAAAAAATGGGGATTGTAGAGGACGGACGAATTTTGGGGAGGCTTTTGCTCATTATTAGGCGCCATAGTCTTATAATCATATTCGATTTGATATTCATATTGTCGAAGTGAAACGACTTGATGAAGTTTAAAAAACTATTGGCTATGTGCCAATGCGTCTCGAGGCATCAAGAAATACGCGAGACTGCGTACATTGCATTATAGCGTACGCGCATTTAATATTCAGTCAACGATTAATTTAAATCTACACTGATTTCGCAAATTCGAATGTGTGTAGTAGGAAATACATTGACAAATACAATAGATATCAAAGGTGCATGTCACAATTTGTTGATTTCGCGCTAAGATCAAAAAATTATTTACGCGTTTGATCATTCAAATTCGTCCGTCTTCGATAATACATGATTGAAAATTAAACATTTGTTTTGATTTTTTACACCAGAAAAATTGTAATATTTTTGATAAATGATTGTCGTATTTAAAACATTTGGAAAATTTCAAATTGAACTATTTTATTAGAATCTCACCAAAAAACGAGCACGTTGTATGAAATCGCAAAAAAAAAACTATCACCTTGTGTAGGTTTACGGTGAGTTTGATTTGCAGGTTATAGCTCAATCTCAAAATCGCTATATGAACTAATTTTTATGTTAGCATCTTAAAAAGTAACCGACTCAAAAACCGATTTTCGAGCGGTGCAGAATTATAAAGCCAAAGATAACACATTTGAATATTTGGTGCCTCTTCCTTTCAAGGCAATAACATCAAAAACACAGTCCGGCGTCGATTTGAGAAGGTTTGAAACATCGAGTCGATCGGGTCGATTTAGATTGAAATTTCTGCTCTAACGTCTTCCACTCGACTACGACTTTGGTTTTGAGCTTTTCAACTCCCCGAAATTCCCGTCGAGAACTTTCACATTGTGAGACTGGAGCCAAACCAAAAACGAACGAATCACATGAATGGCCGTAATGTCCTGTTAAAAAATTACAATAACGACGTCGGAATGGAAGAAAATGGCCGTCAAGAACATTCTGAGTGGCCGAAGAGTTCGCCCTACTTGTCACGAAAGTCAATTCCAGAGTTCAGTCTACCTTTATTACCTGACACTTGCCATTTGTTGACACGAGTTCGATCCTTCACAAAGGTGTGTATGCGCATGTTCTTGAACAATTTGAATTTTTCGCCATCCGACGGTTCGTTCATGTTGAATGCGAGATTTCTCAGAAAAATTAAGACGCATTTCAAAACGATTCAAAAACAGAACAATAGGGAACTCTGTAGGTTCTTAAAGGCACACAACTAGTTTTATGCATATTGGTCCAGACACAGTTTCGAAAAAATGCAAAATAGTCCGTATCATGAGGGTGGCTTTATAATTCGGCACCGCTTGAAAAAAATATTCTAACATAAAAATTGGTACCTAAAGGTAATTTTTCATGCTGAAAACGATTTTAACACTGGTTAGTCTCAAAACATCAAAATAATTGCGCAGTGCTCAAATTTGGGGGTGACCTTATACATAACTCTACAACGCCCTGTATTGCGATGTTAATGCTTACCTTATTTTATATTCAGTAATGTTTTAAACCCATTGCTTTTGCAATAATACATCTTCGTTGAAAATTGTCCCAAGGCAGAAAATAGAAAAACCAAAAAATTACTAGTGGCGCCTATTTTTGGATTATTGAGAGATTCTGAAGCAACAGCAAACGAGACAACTTAATGGACAAATATGCAAATATGCGCACCCAACCAGAGCAAGATGAGCAAAAAAACAACTCAACTAAAGGGGGGGGGGAGCGCAGTATTAATATTAGGCTGTAATTGCATTAGAACCGTCAGTCAAATAAGGAACGAGCAACAAATTGGAGCAGAATGTGCTAGTTTTGGCGTTTTCGAGGAATTCTTAACATTCTTAGAACACCTCGCGTCTAGTCAACGATTTCCCAAGACATAATGGAAAAATATAGGCTCGATTTTATTATCGAAATAGATAGATATAGAATACACCGAATCTAATCATCAAACTATCTTACCCGATCCTTAAATAAAAAAAAAGACGGGGTGAACTACACTTGGTGTTAATGAGCAAAAAACATTAGGAAATGTTATCGAATCAAGCTTTCAAGCTGTTTTTTGCGTTGCGGGTCCAATTCATTGGTAGCAAAGTCGAGAAGAGATTTTTCGCCGATCTGGAAGGGAAAAAATTTGTATAAATTGGAACTTTGCAATCTCTTATAAAACAAGAACTTCGAATTAACGATTATTTTTTTTTACCAATTTTGCCATTGTCCTCGCAAGCTTTTCAGTAGCCTTTTTGTTGTCGGCATCCGAGTATACTTGCTTCACCGAATCCCAAAGAAGAGGAAGAGCAGTGACCTGGAACAATTCGCAAATTATCAACAGCAAATCGAATTATTTCTTGATACTTCAACTTGTTTCGGCTTCGTTTTGAATGCCAATTTGCACAATTCTGTAATACACATAAATCTGCGATGTCTTCTGATGCCTATCTTTACCACAAAACTGATTCATAATGAATGGTCGTTGCTTAACATTCGACTTTTTCGTTGCTGCAGCGAGAGCTGGCATTAAAGCGGTGGGTTCTAGAAATTATATTAATAAATTAGAACATATAGTTAACGTCAATTCAACCAACCAATTGCTTTTATTGTTGCTTGAATGCATGTTTGCGCCAAATGTCGATGCTCCTCGGATTTGCTTGAGAGGATTGCAGTGAGCGCAAAAATGAGCTGATTCAAAACAGCTTTCAGATTAGACTCCGTCGAGTATAGCCTAAGAAATCACTACTAACCATGTTCAATTGTTTCAAAATTTACTTGGCCATTGCTGGAAGCGTTACCAGGTACGTGTCCATAGCGCACGAAGCAACTTTCGCGTTCAAATCTCCGATTCTTCCAATGAACGCTTCGATGAGGCGTGTGTCACTTGCGACCGCTTTGATCGAATGCGAGCACATCTCTTCGAATCGCTGAATGCCGCCGATTCGCCTCTCCCAACCCGACGCGGTCATTTCGGTGCGAATCTCGTCCAGATCCAATTGAACACTCTCGGGAAGCTTCTTTTGCACTCGACGTGTGCTTCCGCTTCGCGACAACGTGCCCGAGAGGCTAATCGACGACGCGTCGAGTGCGTCGACGCCGCCGCGCTTCTCGATCGTCGCAAGAATCTCTTTGAATTGTTTCGCTTCCGAATCGGTTGCATTCTTCCGAAGAAGCCGATCGAAATTTGGGTCCTTCGCCAAAAATGCCAACGCCTGCCGTCCGTACTGTCTCACTTGAGGTGTTTGATCTTTGCAGAATTGGCTTAGAACACCAATCACATGCGACAACGCGGTCGGATTGTTCAGAATCGCTGCGCTTCCTTGAATCTCGATGATATTATAGACAAAACTGGCACACGACGCTCGAGTGGTATTGTTTTTCGATCTAAAATGGTAGCTAGATTAATTTTTTTTTAATCAAATCATACTTTGCTCCAGCAGCAATGATGCCCTGTAGGGCCTTCACCGCGCTGGCGGATTTCACGAGTTTTCCCAGTGAATCGGTGGCGTCCTCGCGAATGAACGCATTCGAAACATCGCCGGATTTGTTGAGAAGAACCGCACAAATTTTTTCCATCTCACTATCGATTCGTGTGCTCATATTTTGCGCAATAATGCCAATTGTGACGATGGCGACGCGCGAAACCGACGACCGCAAATTTTTGCATTCATTCAACACGGCAAGAGTAACCTTTAAGAAAATAATCGAAATGCATCATTGCGAATTTTTTTCTTAAATCTACCTCTTTGAGGTTCTCCTCGATTTGTTTTGGATGGTTGTACGACAATGCCGCCAGCATGTTCAATCCTTCAACCTTCTCCGACCAATCGTCGTTTTCAATTTTCCGCAGAGCTCCTTGCACAGTAACATTATTCGTATCCATTGAGAAGCTTTTCGGCGGCTGAGCACGAACCTAAAAGCTCAATCTGAAGAAAAACAAAACGACGAATAATCCACTCACTTTTGCAGAACTTCCTTTCTTTCCTTGACCCGCTTTTAGGAATGTATTCTTTTTTTGTGGTTGTGATTGCTGAAAATATTGTGCGCAATTGGGGTTTTGGTTTTTTCTTTTAAATGAAATACCGCATGTTTTAAAGGTGGATGAGCTGATGAGATCGGAAGACTGTGATGGCTAATACTTTTCTTTCCCATCGTCGTCGGAGTTTCAAAATCTGAAACAATTCAACAATTTCATTTTGGAAAACTTGAAAACGATTTTGAATTGAAACTAAATGAATCCAAAAACAATTACTAGGACTACTCCACAAATATTCTCTGCCATCCGATTTGAGCCATGAAGCGGTTTTGTGCGCGTAAATCGGCGGTAAACTAGTCGTTGATCTCTTCGTCGAGTACATTGTGGGTATACGAAACGTTGAAAACGAGAATGCCCGTTAGCGATTCATTTTTTTTGCAGTGTCCGTATAGTCACCGCTCACATGGTTACGCGCTTTTTCGTTCATGGCTCATCTTTCGTTTTCTTTGGGAATGAGCACAAGAAAAAAAGTGGACAGAAATGAATAATAAATAGTTGGACTAGTGCAATGTGATATATTGGAGTTTGGGTTTTAATTTCCGCTACATGAAACACGATTTTACGAGAAACAAAATAATAAAAACAATACGCGAAATTGTGATTTGAAAGCAAATTTTCGAATTGATTTCAATTCATCGAAAATCTCATTTAAATAGAAAATTTGATAGACAATTTTCAAAAAAAAAAGTAAGAATGGTCGATTTCGAAATTTTTCAGTAAAAAAAGAAAGAAAAATAAAATTTATCATAAAAATTATAATTTTTCTTTTTTTTTACTGTATTGTTCTTTGCTCAGGTAAATCGAATGAAATATTTTGAGATTCATTGAGAAACTAACGTATCTCTATAATAATTTAGATTTTTCTCAAACAACATTAGAAATTCTTATGAGATTTTAGAATTTATTGGGATAATTCAGAATTTGCTCAATAAATTTTAGAAAATCTTATAAGATTTTAAAAAGTATTTTTTAAGTTTAGCGAATCTCAATAAAATCGAATTTCTCATAATATTTTAGAGTTTATCATTGAATATTTGATTCTCAAAATATTTTATTTGATTTGCCTGAGTTTTTGTAAAAAAAAGCGAAAAACCTGTAAACGAATATTGGCCACTAGCTTTTGCCGGTTTATCGTCAAAATTAGTGGAAACTGGCGGCGGATTGTTCTCATCGCGATCCTCGCTTAAATTCGTTTCACTTCGAGCTTTCTGAAACGAAAAAAATGGGGCAATTTTTCAGGGAAACTTTTCAAATTTACCAATCCGTTTTGTTGTTTTTTCTCAATTGAATTATTGTTCACCTCGCGCCTCACTTTTGTCTCAGAAGTCGACTAAATACACAATTTCAAATGATTAAATCAGATGTGATGGCATACAGCGACCATAGGCTCATAGGACGGTGTCACTCGACTCCCCTTCTTCGTCGGTCTCTCCCAGGAGCTCGTGCTCGAATTCGGATTCGAAGCAGCTAAAAAAGATGTAAGCTAATCCTTTTTAAAAATCGACAGTAGCGATACGTCTTTTAACTACAACACTCTCAAAACTACGCTGATCGTCATGATACAGGAATCCGGCAGGTTTGACGCGCGTGTGCGCCGACGTCGTTCGGCTCGCCGCCGAGCCCATTGGTCGCGACTGTCGCGAAACAATTCGAGGTTCGATGGGAGGCAGGAAAAGGCGTATAAATCAGTGTCGAAACGCGCGCGCGCGCGAGGTGTGCTTTGCCTGGCAACGCGTTAGTGGTTACTCGGCGCCATTTCTCGTTCGACCAGATGAAACAAATAATAACACACGGAGGGGAAGAGAGGTGAAGGGGGGGGGGGGCACGCGAAACGTATAATCGAGGCGCACGGCAGGAGCTGGTCATTTTTGAGCAAGCTCAACCTATTGTTCACATTCAATTCAAAAACGAGACTAATGCGTGTGTGGGAGCGAAGGGCGAAAATTGCCGGTAGGCGTCTTTTTGGAGTTGCAAAAAAATTTTTGAACCACATTGGCAGCGAATGATGATGAAAATCGAAAAAAACTGAAAAACAAGTTTTTTGCGAAATCTGTAGAAGATTAATAAAGTTTTCTGTAATTTTTTTTTAAACCGGTTTTTAGGTTTTTTCCCGAAATCTACATAATACCATTCATAACTAAATTAATTTTGCTCTTCTCAAAAAATGGTTTGAAGAATTAAATCACGAGATTCTACAGTATGATTTAATGTCATTCAATTTTATTGACTTTGTGAGAATTGCGAATTGAGGGGTTTCGCAGTGCAACATCACATAAAATCTCCTGCTTTCGTTTATTTGGTCACCGATTTTCAGGGGCTTCATAAAAATAATTCTTTTTTTCTGCATAGCACTTATAAATACATATATTCAGGTAGTTTGTTGATTGTTCAGTTGAATACGTCATTGCTAATGAATATTCAATTCCACCTCAACGGATAAATCATGTAGGAAAGTACGTCTTGACGTCTAAACAAAAACGCAGAAGGATGTAAATTGAGAATAGTGCATTCCATTTTTGAAAATAACCACCTAGGGAGCAAAAATATGGTTTCTAACAAGCTCACAAAAAACACATACTGGGACTATTAGGACACCTACTATTAGGATTCGCTTGATCGAGGAAAACTTTTTGGCATTTGTCTGACACATGCAAAACAAAAAACATAATTACCCGGTGGAAAGTGTGCTCTTAAACTAAAATATGGTCAGAGTTTGTGTTATTCGGCCAATGATTCTTCACTACTCCTTTTTTTGCTACCAAATTTTCATTATCGAAAATATTGATTTCACACCACCTTTTTTTTTACATTTTCTGGAAAAAAGTGGTAGTGAGAAATCGGTAGTGAAAATTTCGTAGCAAAAAAAAAACGGCAGTGAAGAGTCATTGGCCGAGGGTTCCTGTAGGCGGGTAGATTTACGGGGTTTCCTACTTCGCAATGGTCTCACACGGACCATCTGGTTATTTTGCATATTCGGAATCACTTTAATACGATTTAATTTGAATAACGTTAGAACATGAATTAATTTTCAAACTGATCAAAAAAATTCCACATGAAATTCAAAAAAATAGGCATTCACATATAAAACAATTAGAAGTCGTCGGACACCAATTATAAGAATCATATTTTTAAATTTTTGATTATTGATAATATAAAATGCATGATTCTAACCTGATCCAGATCTTCGAAGCATCGAATCATCACTTTTCATTCTCGTCATTGTCATCTTTTGCAGAATTTCCTTTTCAAGGCTGTCTGCATTGCTCGCCTGAGTTTGCTGTTGCTGTTGTTGCTGTTGCATTCGATTTTTTCGAATTACAGCCAAATTTCCAGCGAGACTTATGGGGGAAACTGTTCGTTCGAACGGATCGGCTTCTCTGCCTCCGTTATTCAGAATCCACATTAGATCGGCGTTCTCGGGATTACTCATTTCCGATTCATCAACAGCGAACGACGTATCAGAAACCGGTGGCGTCGAATATTCAATCAAACCATCATATCGAATTCCCGGCAAAAGCTGACGACGTAGCCTCGACTGAAATAAAAACTATTTTTGAAAACGCCGAACAACTTCAAAAATCACCATCACGGCTTCAGTGAGCCCGCGAGCATTCTGCTCATTTTCGACATCCCTCGCTACTTTTAATATAGCTTCAGTTTTGCCATTCAACAGATAAGCAATCACCGACAGCTGTTCAAATGCTGCTAGCCTGAAAATGCAAGAAACGGATTAGACGGATTAATTTCGGATTACCTGACACGCCGCTTCGGATCATTTAGAAGCGGTACTAAATTATTAATCATCGATGTTAAATTGAATTTTGAAGGGCTAATTGTCATCAACGCAGCCGTTATTATATTAACGACTTCTTCGCGAGTTCGCGAATTCTTGTTTTCCATGAAAACTCGCAGTGCTCCACCCACACTTTTCGGATTAATATGCTGAATAAATTGACTTATAAGTTCACTCATTGAATGTGGTTGAAATACTTGAAAAAGGTCCATGAATGACATCATGATAAGCTGTTTGATCACAGATTTTTGATTGCCAAAATATTTCGAGATAAGATTGACCACTTGATGAAGGTGCGCTTCCATGTGACCCCGTAAACTATGAATCGTAAGTCGAATGATATCTAGCGTAAGAACGACGACCTGAGGTGTTAATGCTTGAAAACAAAACTATTTTAGGCGATATTCATACCTTGAAATTGAGGTCGGCAAGGACATTTGATAATGTGAGAAGATATGAATGAAGATGTGGAACAAGACGGGTGACTTCTTCCGGACTGATTTGTTCGATGATTTGTTTTAACTAAAATCAATATAGCAAACTTCGATTATTTCTAAATGTCCTACTCTCTCGAGGCCCGCAATTCTCGCATTCACGTCGTTATCATCTTGAATCATATTTGAGATGACACTGGGCACAATTCCGAATCGTAATCTGCGTTCGCCGGAAGCAATCTTCATTGTAGACCGATTGGCAAGCACTCCGCCTTTCTGGTCGTTGTTCGTTTCCAACACAACGTTTTCAGTCATTCGTTTCACGATTTCTCGCTTATCCGGCAGCAAACTCGTGATTATACTATCGTAGATCTCATTTCCGAGGTATTCTGAAATTGGAAAATTCAGAAAAATATTTGAATTTTGTTGAAAATGATACCGTTGAGTTTTTTAAGTGTCACACCAACTCTCTCTTCGCATTCGAGAATTATGTTGTCGGCTGTAAGAGTATCAACAAGATTGCTCCAATTGCATCGGGATAGCTGAAAATAATCCAATTTGATTTTTTCCATTGTTTCCGTTGATTTCAGGCTTGTTGTTTAGAAGGCGAACTCAGCCGAGTAATCGAATTCGTCGAAAAATAAAAATGTTGAAACTAATGTTAAAAAAAGGAAAAAAACTATTTGATAATTTCAACTAACATGGTCAAATATGAGAAAATTGGTTTGACGAATGTCAGGAAATTCTTGGGTTTGGACGAAACGCGCTGGTTATGCTGGTTTGCCGATTTTCAGCAATCCCTAATCGTATTTTTTTTAAATATTTTTTCCTCTAAACTCATCATCGTTTCTCCGAATGCAAAAACAGCTCGCTTTTACCTCCGGCAAAAACAAAGATGGTAGTTCGTGAATGATTTCCGCTTTTGTTTCCGGTTCCCGACAGTTTGTCATAAAATTATTGAGCATTTTCTGAATCATTTCATTTTATTGTGCGTTGTTCAAAAGCAACATACAAGAAACGATTGTAGCGCTTCAGGTTTGTTTTTTAGAAAAAGTACAATCGCTTGATTGCAGATTTTTCGCACAGTGATTTTCGAGCTGCCCAACTTGGGAATCAAATTAGGCATGACGTAGCACATACAGTATTCTGTTGCCTACAATAATAATTGTAATCGTTTCATAATATTGCCGCCTACATTTCCAAATGTCGGCATTGCCTCCACAAGAAATTTGATGCATTGATGTTGAAGTTCCCACCGTTCGTCGACGAGAATCCGATCAAGACACTAAAAAGAAAAAGGATTAAAAAGGCGACATCATTAACTGATTTCGAAATTTTTTTTTTTGCGAAAATGCGTAATTAGCTGAAAAAAGGCAAATAAGAAAAATATGTCATAAAGCTAAAAAAAAATACAAAAGAGTTTACCTTTCTTAAAAAAAAACAGAAATAAACTATTGTGACGTGAGGAGTTTTGATAAATTTTTCGATTTTAATATATTTATTTTTTTATTTTCCCTTTACGTCATACTACAAAAAAGAAGATGTAGTAATGCTCTAAATTATTTTCTAATTTTTTTTAAAATAAATTGAGAGACATTTGTTCAAACCTCATAAATTCATATTACTATAATAAAGAAAATGTAATGATCGTATGTTTCCGATAATTTCGTGAAAATTAGACATAAAAATGGGTATAAGAAACCTTGAAAAGTTCTCCTTTTTTCGCGAATCGATTGAACCATTCGTCATCGCGACGAGCGATCCCAACAGCACTGTTCAATGTCTAAATATTCAAATTCACAAATTCGTAATTATAATAATGCAAGCACCTGCAGTTTCGTGTCAAAATCGGGGCTTTTGAGAAGTTCTAGAAAATCATTTGGCAAGAAGTTTGGCGACGGCAATCGATCGATCGGATTTCGTGAAAGACTATCGAACAATGTGGACATCTAACCAAACTCCTGAAATAAAGCAACTAACTGAAATCCAGAAAAAAAATGGAAACGAATAATCATCGAGTATATGTTGCGCAGGAAAACATATTCCAAATAGGGAATGCATGTATACATGAGTGTGAGAAGTAGAAGCAGTTGGTGAGGGGGTTGTGTAGTCGTGGCAACCGCGCTGGTGCGGCTCGCTGAGCACGACATTCGAACGGCTGCCGCGGCGAAAAGAATCGCCAGTAATTGCCCAATTATCGGCTGATATTTTCGTTGACATGAAATGAGAATGAAAAAATTGTATACTTAAGTGAATTCTGCTAAGCAAGAAATCTCGTAATACATATTGAAAAAAAACCGAACCCGTTGAAACTCTTTATATGTATGTAATTATATTTTTCATTTGTGAAACTAGACATATGACACCTCAAATATGTAATTTCATTGCAAAAAAAAAACAAGACAAAATGATGTGATTTTTAAGCCTAAAATTTTTGCCGAAAACAGACTACATCGGCTAGCTGGCGTGTGAAAATTTTTTGTATCAAACATGGACCATTCATGAACCACATCGGATTCACTTTGTCTCTTTCAATACAATTCAATTGTCGTATCTCATTTTTAACACATTTTCAGGTTCTACTAAATTTTTTAAAAATTTATTCATTATTTTGCGAAATCTGCTTCGTCCCAAAAAATCGGCTTAAAAAATTGGTCGCTTCAAGACCTATACATATATATGTATGTATATAGCAGGGCTGTTCGGCAATGGAGTAGTTGATTGCCGAAATTTCATTTGCCAATTTGTTGAGAAGAATAAAAAAGTTAAAATATTATATTAAATGCTGAAGGTACTGTTAAAATTCGGTATTTATATTACAAATTATCGTTGAAAAAATTGAATAGCCCAAAAAATTTTATTTTTGGCAATTTGCCCACTCTGACACATCCTTGCTTGCGTTGCGTGTCGTGCGTTTTATCGGCATCAAACAAATGAAGCCAATAATTTTTTGAATTTCGTCTAGTCGTTTGGCTCCCGTATTTTTTTTTGTATTTTTTTCGTTCCGCATTTTTTATGTCAATTTGAAGTTGTTTTCTTGTGAATTGATGCTATACAAGTTGTCTTTCTTTCTCTCTCTCTCTCTCTCTCTCTCTCTCTCTCTCTCTCTTTGTCAAAAATGTACTGTCGATCCCAAATAACTGCGCGGTGGCGAAAAATTCAATTTCGTGAAATCAGTGTATATTTAAATTTGACGCGGCTGAAATTTGTGCCCACAAATGGCATTCCCGCTTTCTTCGAAAGCCACATTTTTTCTAATTTGTTGATTTTTTTAAGTAGAAATAATCAAGAATACAATGAACACTATTGTGTGTATTTTTATGAAAAATTTTCATCATTAACTGGATGGCTAATATCTATAAGATTTCTATTGAAAACCCCTCACTATTCATTTAATTCATTTATTGGACAATAAAATTCAGACAACCATTCAACATTCTCACGCATTTACAACAACAATATCTCATTCGAAATCATTTCATATTTTTTCCGGAAATTGAACATCAAAACAAAATAGATGCAAAGAATTCTCTTCAATATGTTAATAAAATTGATATTACTTTATTGAAATTGCTGATTCTTGACGTTATTATTATGCTCAATTTTTATCCCAACTATTGCAATATCCAATACACTTAAGTGTAGAATATCGAAAAATGATATAACTTATTTTATTTTATTGTCTTAATAAAAAATAATTTCTAACAAGGGAGGTCTTTTTTCTGTCCGTCTTAACATTTTTTTATTTTTTGCATACAGATTCTTTAGAAAATTTCCAATCGAATGAACTAGGTCCCTACCAAACTTCTAGTTATCGAGATATGGACCTTCAAAGTTTTAGCCCCTCCCCACGTGAATTTTGCACACAAATGTGCGGAAACTCGAAATGAAATCCTAATCTGGCAAGTAGTTGTGGTTCAGTAGTGTGTAGGTTACGTTCTCGGTGAAAATTGGCGGGCCCCGCGCGGGTGAAAATTGAGGGGCAATTCGTCGAGCGGGGCCCTCATATCACCGTCGCGGGGAATTTCATTTCGAGTTTCCGCACATTTGTGCGCAAAATTTAGGTGGGGAGGGGCTAAAACTTTGAAGGTCGATATCTCGATAACTAGAAGTTTGCGCAGGTAGCAACCTAGTTCATTCGAATGGAAATTTTCTAAAGAATCTGTATGCAAAATATGAAAAAATTTTAAGACGGACAGCAAAATGACCTCCCTTGTTAGTAAAATATGTATAAACGTGTGCACGAATGTGATTTTTGTATTCAACTACACATGCAATATGTACTTAAATAAGCAAATTTTGAAGCCCTACAAAAGAAGCCTACGCAGAATGCTGATTAACTATAAAATGTATTTTATTAATATTATAAGAATGGATTAAGTTTCCTTTAATTTTGGTGCGCCGTGTTCCAGCATTGATAAAAGCCAATAAGTCTGCATAACTCCTTTACCCTAAATCAGAAAGCAATTGTCTGAAATTGGAAAAAATATATGGAAGACCTTAACGATAACTTCCCCTCTGGGTTCGGTGATAAATCCTCCAAGCTCGGTGAGCAGTTGGTTAGCTTCACTCGAGATGTGCACTTTTCCAGCTGAAAAGGCTATGTTGGGCTGATCATTCAAATCGTGCGAAACATACGTTTGCTGTTACTCTCCATTCGACTCGCCGTGTTCACAGCATCGCCGAATAAGCAATATCTCGGCATCGTCAGTCCAACAACTCCGGCAACCACAGAGCCTGCAAACTCGATAGAATAATTAATTAATTATTAAATTGAATGATCATCACCGCTATGAAATCCGACACGAATTCGAATTTGTTCGGTCGGAAGATGAGGGACTCGAAAGTTGTCAAGAGCTCCTACAAAGAGCAGAGACATGCTGGCAATGTGTCGGACATGCTCCTTGCCATTCCGATGGGGCAGTCCGGACACACACAGATAGCCGTCTCCGATTGTCTCCACCTGAATTCTTCTTTATTTCGATTCTGAATAACTAGAAGACCTTATAGACATCGTGTTGGTCAATGATGCTGTCGAATATCGTATAGAGATCGTTGAGCAGATTGACAACTTGCAACGGGGTGCACTTCGAAGCGAGTGTCGTGAAGCTGACGACGTCGGAGAAGAACAAAGTGACCATGTCGAATGTTTCTGGCTCAACCGTTTGTCCGAGTTTCAGTTTATCGGCAACTTGTCTGCAAATGCTTAAATTTGCTGATTAATCGATTCTACAATACTTGGGGAGCATTCGATATAAAAGTACGTCGGACTTTTTCTTCTCTTCAACCAATTCCTTCATCCTCTCAGACACCTCGTCTTCCAAAGTAGAAGCATACGATTCGAGCACATTGAACACGTGATCCATCAGATTGTCATTTCGGTTGTTGTTCATTCCTCTCAGCTGAGAATACACTTCCCTAATAGTGGGCCTCTCGGAAGGTCTCTCTGTCCAACAGTCACGAATGAGGTGAAGCTAAACACGATGATGTCTTCTTGATTCTTCAATACTACAAACCAATGCTGGATTTATTTCCATGGCTTCTTCGAATTCCAAATCTGGACGTGGGGCCTTCATTCCTCCCTTTTTGATCAAATAGAGCAATTCTAAAGCAATTCCAAATTCTCTGAAATCTATAACAAACTACCTTCAGCATCTTCTTTTCGGTTTTCAATATCAAAAACAGATTTCCGTGTAACCAATTCAGCACTAATTATTCCGAAACTGTAAATATCTCCTTCTTTGCTTCCATCCAAATTATCATTCCTCAAATGTTCAGGAGCTGTCCACAAAAAATCTGAAACAATATTCAATTTAATGAATTTCATCTTAAATCCAACCGTTTTTCGAATATTGATCATTAATTCGAAATTTTCTGATTCCAAACTCGGATATTTTCATCTGCCATCGATCACTCAAAAGGCAATTTTTGGAAGTAAGCATTCCATGATGAGCGATTGGAGAATTGTGAAGATAACTGATTCCAGTAACAATATCCTTCATTAATGAATAAATGAAGAATCCGTCCATTTGGATTGTCGCTTTTCGAATTACATCAGCCAGACTTCCTCTAGAACAATATCTCCATACCGACAATAATTGGGGACCATCCAACGATAATCCAATGAATTTATTTAGATTTGCATGATCGACTTGAAGATGCTTAAAGTATTGTTATTTTAAATAAGACTAGAAATAACTAATCAAACCTGTCTCATTTCGGCACACTCATGCTTATCAAATATCGGTCGAACATTGTGCTTTCGAGCTGCAACTCGTTCAAGCTCCATTCCGTTCTGTAATTGATCATATAATGCTAGAAATGATCCAAATGAGAATAATACTTGTATCGTCATGAACAGATAGTGCCTTTTTTCAGCAGCTTCGAATGAGACCCCAGATTTTGACGATGAAATCGTACTGGGACCACTGCTCAAACTATGCATACTTTGATCGGTTTTGCCCTGTAATTATTATTTAAAAGATGCAATTAGAATATTGAATCTTTCCTTTGATGCGGGACTCATTGAATTGAATGGAATTTGCCACATTGCATTTTGGCGTTCAACTTCCATTCGTTTCGTCCTAAAATAAGTGTTTTTCAGAATTGTTGAAAACGTTTTAAGAACCTAATTGTTATAACACAAGCTGCCAGTGCTCCAAGAATTGCGATAACCACAATTATTATAGCCGTAATAAACCATCCAAGGTATTCGAAAAATACGCTTGGTTTACACTGAATTTTTGAAATTAAAATTTTTATCGACTGCTAATTAGTTCAGATTACATTCAAACCAGTGAAACCACAAACAGGTTCATCAGGAGGCCTCTGTCGATTGGCTCGTGAATGCCATAGAGCAGTTCCTTCATCTACATATCTATTCGTGATGAACTAAACATTCTTATATATGCTGTTTGTATTTTAATGATATCAGTCTACCCCATCCACCTCAGTCACCAAAACCGTGGCGATAATAGATGACGAGCTGTTCTCATCAAGTGTTAGAACGTAAAGTGTTGGGTTGCGTGTTCCATGACTATTTATTGTGACAGGCCCAGATATTCCTAAAAATCAATTAATATTTAATCATTTATAAAATTATAATACCAGTGAAGTTTTGCTGAAAATTTTTAACAAAGTGAGTTCCGTTTCGATAATTTTCGGGACTTTCTTGCAAAATTTTGCTCAGCGTTCTTCCGTAGGCATACACCGAATCATGCAATTGTCCCGAATAGGTGGCAGCAGTTTTGAATTCGACATCCGAACACTCCTCAATGCAGTTGTATGGGGGTTTTCCCATCCTTTCGATAACTTCTTGATTGAAAACTGAATAATTGCCAGTTTGTTGGCCTTGTCCTTGCATCTAAAATGTTATTAGTTTATTTTCAGCACAAAAAATGGTTGCAGCCACGTCGCAAATAAATATCGTCTTGAGGAATCCTTTCCGAGAAGATTCATCTTTTTCCGATGGGCCACTCTCAAGAACCCATGGAGGTCTAGTGGTTCCATCTTTATTCGGAACAACTTAAACATAAATTATTCGCCCATTTTTAACTTTGAAATATCTACCGTATCCTTTCGAACGAAGAGCGGGAAATATATAAACGTATTCATCAGTTGCATATCCGTTCTCATACGCCAGCATTGTTAATCTTCTATGAATACCTTTCATGTTCCCTTCCGGAAAACATACAACGATGACTAAAAATAAATATTGAATTAAAAATATGTATATAATTAATAGTATACTTCGTCCTCTTTTCGAAAGCTGCTCTAATGCTTTGAGAATGCCTTCTTCCGAATCATCGGTGATCTGATAAGTGAACGAGAGCGTCATGTCCGCGTACTTCCCAACCATTGCCTGAAAGGAAAACTCGATTCCTTTTGAATATCTAGCAATCGAACTTGTAAATTGTTCCTTAGAGGTAGACACTTGTCGTCCTCTTCAATCAATGAGTATCCGTACACAAATTGATTCCAATTAAATTGCTGCATCACTTTTCGAAACGCCATTACCAAACTGAATACGACAAATTCGGAATTGTGTTCGAATCCTCAGATTACCCCCTAGATGTTGTTGACATCAATGCAGTAGTCGGATATCTGACAATATTATCGAATTCGGAGTCGCTCGTTAAACCCCAAGAAATGATTGGCAGATTATAATATGTCGCGATGGCAAATGCGGGGTACCCGGCTAAAATGTGATACAATTTGAATAATGAGAATGCAAAAAATGTTGCCTAAATTCGTGTTGGGACCAAAGATAACATCAACGTTTTTCCTTCGAATCAATTCTACAGTCTGACCAGTGGATTCAGACTCATCGCAATTGTCCATACCAATAATGGATCTTAAAATTATGAGACTATTAGAATGAGAGAAAATGACCGACTCGAAATTATAGCCCGGCAACAAGTTTTCACGCTTTATCCGATCAATTGCGATGTCAGCTGCGCTTGCAGAAGTTCGATAATTAATATAAATTCTTTTTGAATTTATTTTCTGGAATATAGTTTTTATTAGTGAATTAAGCGATATATGTACATACGTCGCAGTGTAAAAATCCCAATCGCAAAACCTTGTTAGGAGGTTGGCCGAAAGCCTGCCAATATTATAGATAAAAACCACTGCTGATTGAATTTTAAAATAACTCACAAATTTTAGGAAAATAATAATTCGTAGAATATTCATAATAATACTAATGTGTACAAATCTTCTTGTCAATATTTTATATTTGACAATAATACTTAAATAAGCAAGTTTGGAAGCTCTACAATGGAAGCCTACGCCTGCGCATAGTGAATAACACCCATCACTGATTCAATCATTCTAATAAATGTTTTGAGACTTCCTTTTCAACATTCTCGAATATGCCAATTGACTATAAAATATATTTTATTAATATTGTAAGAATGGATTAAGTTTCCTTTAATTTTGGTGCGCCGTGTTCCAGCATTGATAAAAGCCAATAAGTCTGCATAACTCCTTTACCCTAAATCAGAAAGCAATTGTCTGAAATTGGAAAAAATATATGGAAGACCTTAACGATAACTTCCCCTCTGGGTTCGGTGATAAATCCTCCAAGCTCGGTGAGCAGTTGGTTAGCTTCACTCGAGATGTGCACTTTTCCAGCTGAAAAGGCTATGTTGGGCTGATCATTCAAATCGTGCGAAACATACGCTTGCTGTTACTCTCCATTCGACTCGCCGTGTTCACAGCATCGCCGAATAAGCAATATCTCGGCATCGTCAGTCCAACAACTCCGGCAACCACAGAACCTGCAAACTCGATAAGATAATTAATTATTAAATTAAATGATTATCACCGCTATGAAATCCGACACGAATTCGAATTTGTTCGGTCGGAAGATGAGGGACACGAAAGTTGTCAAGAGCTCCTACAAAGAGCAGAGACATGCTGGCAATGTGTCGGACATGCTCCTTGCCATTCCGATGGGGCAGTCCGGACACACACAGATAGCCGTCTCCGATTGTCTCCACCTGAATTCTTCTTTATTTCGATTCTGAATAACTAGAAGACCTTATAGACATCGTGTTGGTCAATGATGCTGTCGAATATCGTATAGAGATCGTTGAGCAGATTGACAACTTGCAACGGGGTGCACTTCGAAGCGAGTGTCGTGAAGCTGACGACGTCGGAGAAGAACAAAGTGACCATGTCGAATGTTTCTGGCTCAACCGTTTGTCCGAGTTTCAGTTTATCGGCAACTTGTCTGCAAATGCTTAAATTTGCTGATTAATCGATTCTACAATACTTGGGGAGCATTCGATATAAAAGTACGTCGGACTTTTTCTTCTCTTCAACCAATTCCTTCATCCTCTCAGACACCTCGTCTTCCAAAGTAGAAGCATACGATTCGAGCACATTGAACACGTGATCCATCAGATTGTCATTTCGGTTGTTGTTCATTCCTCTCAGCTGAGAATACACTTCCCTAATAGTGGGCCTCTCGGAAGGTCTCTCTGTCCAACAGTCACGAATGAGGTGAAGCTAAACACGATGATGTCTTCTTGATTCTTCAATACTACAAACCAATGCTGGATTTATTTCCATGGCTTCTTCGAATTCCAAATCTGGACGTGGGGCCTTCATTCCTCCCTTTTGATCAAATAGAGCAATTCTAAAGCAATTCCAAATTCTCTGAAATCTATAACAAACTACCTTCAGCATCTTCTTTTCGGTTTTCAATATCAAAAACAGATTTCCGTGTAACCAATTCAGCACTAATTATTCCGAAACTGTAAATATCTCCTTCTTTGCTTCCATCCAAATTATCATTCCTCAAATGTTCAGGAGCTGTCCACAAAAAATCTGAAGCATTCTTCAATATTGTCAATACCATCTTAAATCCAACCGTTTTTCGAATATTGATCATTAATTCGAAATTTTCTGATTCCAAACTCGGATATTTTCATCTGCCATCGATCACTCAAAAGGCAGTTTTTGGAAGTAAGCATTCCATGATGAGCGATTGGAGAATTGTGAAGATAACTGATTCCAGTGACAATATCCTTCATTAATGAATAAATGAAGAATCCGTCCATTTGGATTGTCGCTTTTCGAATTACATCAGCCAGACTTCCTCTAGAACAATATCTCCATACCGACAATAATTGGGGACCATCCAACGATAATCCAATGAACTTATTTAGATTTGCATGATCGACTTGAAGAAGCTTAAAGTATTGTTATTTGAAATAAGACTAGAAATCACTAATCAAACCTGTCTCATTTCGGCACACTCATGCTTATCAAATATCGGTCGAACATTGTGCTTTCGAGCTGCAACTCGTTCAAGCTCCATTCCGTTCTGTAATTGATCATATAGTGCTAGAAATGATCCAAATGAGAATAATACTTGTATCGTCATGAACAGATAGTGTCTTTTTTCAGCAGCTTCGAATGAGACCCCAGATTTTGATGATGAAATCGTACTGGGACCACTGCTTAAACTGTTCATACTTTGATCGGCTCTTTTCTAAATTAACATTTGTTTAGATAATGTTCTCAGAATGTACCTTTGTTGCTGGACTCATTGAATTAAACGGGATTTGCCACAACGCATTTTGTCGCTCAACTTCTAATCGCTTCATTCTGAATGACTATAATCGCATGCGCTTGGTGATCTTCTACGTACCGTATTGTTACAATAAATGCTGACAATGCTCCAATAAGTGCAAATGAAACTATCACAATTCCAGCAACAAACCAACCAAGGTACTCGATAAATACACTCGGCTTACACTAAAGTAAATCATAATGTGTTTTAAAAGTTTAAATATTTGACTAACATTCAATCCCGTAAATCCACAAACAGGTTCATCAAGAGGTCGCTTCTGATTCTTTCTAGAATGCCAAATAGCAGATCCTTCATCCGTATACGTTTTGTTCAGAAACTGAATGTATGAATATTATAATTGAAATATTGTTCTCTCTTACTCCTTCTGTATTCGTGACGACTACGGTTCCCATAATAAATGCAGTGCTATTTTTATCAAGAGTCAAAATGTACATCGTTGGATTACGGGCACCGTCACTATTTATTTCAACGTTTCCCGATACACCTAAACATCAATTTTTGCATTGTTGAGTGGACTACAATTTACCCGTGAATTTTTGATGAAAATTTTTTAAGAAAAACGTTCCATTTTTGTAATTTTGTGGGCTCGTCTTAATTGTTCGGCTCATTGCCAACCCATACGAATAAACTGCATCGTGCAATTGTCCAGCATAAGTCGCCGCATTCTGATAAATTTCATCCGCACATTCTTCGACGCAGTTGTACGGCGGTTTCCTCATTCTCGAAATCACCTCTTCACCGAATACTGAATAATTCGTAGCTTGTTGGCCTTGTCCTTGCATCTGAGTGATCATTAAATGCTCTCATCCTCCAAAAATAAAACAACATCACAAATAAAAATGGTCCTCAAGAATCCTTTTCTCGCGAGTTCGTCGTTTTCGTTAGGCCCGCTGGCTTGTATCCAAGGCGGTCTCGTCGTTCCATCAGAATTCAATACATCTTTAAAAACATTTATAATTATATTATTTTTATAATTCTTTTTTAACTATAGCCTTTCGATCGAAGCGACGGTAGAATGTAAACATATTCATCGCTTGCATACCCATTCTTCTCGGCTACCATCATCAACCTTCTGTGAATGCCCCGTGTATTTCCTTCAGGAAAGCAAACAACGATAACTGAAAGGAATGTAGTGCTTAAAAAACGGCGAATTAAAACTTCGGCCTCTTTTTGAAAGCTCCTTCAACGCTTTCAGCATCCCCTCTTCCGAATCATCCAATATCTGATAACTATATGAGAGGGTCATATCTCCATATTTGGAAACCATTGCCTAATTTTAATTGTTGCATCAATAGATTATGATTATCTAACTTGTAGGTCATCTCGTAGCGGCACGCATTTATCATCTTCATCAATTAAAGAGTATCCATATACGAATTGATTCCATTTGAACTCTTTCAACATTTCGCGGAAAGCCATTACCAAACTGTAACACATATCTGTTTTATAAATATTTGTTTTTCAACCATTTGAATTTAGATTTATATGTTTGAGAGTCTTCAATTTGTATTTTAATTTTTTTCAACAAATTTTCATAAATGAAAAAGCAACACTTCTACATATAAAATCAAAAACTACCAAAGTTTGTTAAAATTGAGATATCAGGCAAATCAAATAAAATATTTTGAGGATCAATTATTCAATGATAAACTCTAAAATATTTTGAGAAAATCTAAAATTTATTGATACTTTCTAAAATTATTGAGAATCGATAAACTTAAAAATATTTTTAAAAATCTTATATAGTCGACCTCCGGCGACTGCTGTACGCGGGTAGATTTACTTGCATGGGCCTTGAAAAGGTCTCGCCACATGTGAATGCTTATTTTGCTTTTTTCACGTGAACGATTCATTTTTTCTTGATGACTTCAGCATTTCTTTAAATTTCTAACGTCGTTAGATTAAAAAATTATCGAACCGGTCCATAAAATTTGAAATATCCTGTTAGTCCTTGCGAGACCATTTCGAAAAAAGCATTTCCGTAAATCTACCTGCGGACAGCAGTTATTAAAATTTATTGAGAAACTTCTAAATTATCCCAATAAATTCTAAAATCTTATAATAATTTCTAAAGTTGATTGAGAAAAATCTAAAATATTACAGAGACACGTTAGTTTCTCAATGAATCTCAAAATATTTTATTCGATTTACCTGAATGGTCCAAACTAGCGACAACGGTCTTCTGACATTGACGTGGATCACAAGTGCTATGCAGGTTTTTCCTAGCTCTTCCAATTTTAGTAACCATCGATTCTCAAATTTTCTGGTACTTCCACTTTCTGCACTCCATACGCCCGGAAACATTTTGGACCCCATAAAAATAAATTGGTCGTATTTTTGAAAACATTGTTTCGGCAATCGTTAAGTGTGCAACCTTCAAAAGTATAAAAATATGATAGAAAATGGATAAGATATCGGAAAATCTTTAAAAAAAAAAGAGCGAAAATTCTATGTTAATTCACTGTGTATTCACTGCAACTGTGCTACAGACGAAAAATGGTGAAAAGGTGGATGAAAAATAGATTACTCGGAAAAGTAGATAAAAACTAGGAGAAAAATGGGCGAAAAATAGATTATCTCAAAAATTGGTGAAAAATATACGATAAATGGATGACAAATAGATGAAAAATTGGAAAAAAATAGATAGAAGATAATGATAAGAAATAGACACTGAAAGGGTGAAAAATAGATGGAATTGTGCAGTTGATCGTAATGTGAATGCAGATGGCGCCATGTTAATCACAATTTTTTTAAAAATCAATTTTGGAAATGCCTAAAACTCTTCGCCATCGATTACCCAAAGAAGGTCTCAAATTGAGGAAAGGTAGGTTTGTTTCGTATATTAATATTGCTGATTGTTTATTATTTTAAGATCAAATTGCTGGTTCGCGATGCATGCCGACCAAACGTGTGGTCTTTGCTCGAAAAAACGCCCGGCTTTCACTTCGAAACAAATCGTCGAACAACGAAAATAATGAAAATGATGCATCAACAACATCCTTTCTCATGAGAGAACGATCTGAAAGCGAAATTGAAGAATTCTCCGAAGTAGTCGGGCCGTCATGCGTACCGAATTACCCCGCACATGATCGTGTATCGGAATTGGCCGATGAACTATTATTGTGCATGTATAGTTCGGTACTCGGAAAAGATACAGAAAATGGTAAAACTAATACTTTTCCAAAGACAAAAAATGGTTGCAGGCTTTTTGAGACGACTGGCAACAATTAAAAACTTCATCCCGATTGAAAGAGCCCGCTCATTGTGGTATGATTTCAAGAAGAATATTATGAAGCGTTCAATATGCGAAAAGTGTGGATGTCGAAGAGAGAAAGAATGGTAAACACATATACCACATTTCAAACATTATTATGATCAATTTCAGTTGCGGCGATTTGGCGACTTTTCTTATGCTGCCTCTCACCGAACAAATTCGCGGGATTGTGGAGTCGTCCTTTGACGATATAATGGAAATTCGAAAGAAATTGAAGGAAAAAGCACCAAACTTCACACACAATCTTCAAGGAAGTTCTTTTTCCAGTTCATGGAAATACGAGGATGAAAATCATTGTGATCTGAGCATGGTGCTAAGTCTGGACGGCGTCAATCCCCGAGGACATTTCAGGTATTATTATTATTTGTTTATTAAAGATGTGCCATTTAGAGGAAGTTTGTGGCCAATTACTTTACAGTTAGTGGATTTGCCTACAATGAAGTCGCAACTTTCAATTAATCTTGTAGTCTGTGGAATGCTGCAATTAAAAGCTAATAATCCAACAACCCTTGTTTTGAATACCGTCACGGAAATTATAATGAATCGATTGGAAGGCGAAGGGTCAACATTTGTTGTAAACAATATTTTATTTTCTCCATACCTCGTGTCACTCGTTTCTGACCAACCAGTAAGGATTAAGTGATAAAAATTTCTATAGATTTCAGTTTAAGGCAAAAAGAAAAATTCTTGGAATGAGCGGTTTTAAACGTCCACAAGCTTGTTTTTATTGCGACTCTCACGGAACTCTGCACAAACCACTACTTGGAAACGGTAATAATCAATAATAATTTTAAACCCTCTTATTCATCGCTTATATTGATTTAAGATCGACGATTGGACAGATTTGGGGATAAGACTCTAGAAGATAGTATTCGCGGTGTTAATGGATTTGGTCCTGTTGCGGCGAAAATGGTGCAATATGTCAAGCCGTACAATACAATCTTGGATGTTCTTCACACTTGTTCAGATGGAATTGTAATGTTGATACTAAAAGGTATCAAAATTAAGTGTGACCAAAAAAACGGCAGAAATTCCAGAGCTCATGCCTAAAAAGTTTAGATGTTCAAAGAAAAAAATCTGCAATGTTCGAATGCGATGAAACCATGCTCGAAAACTTCGACAAACATCTACAATTGCCAATTGAAGGAGCCGATTTGACTCGATTGCTCACTAACGGAAGGCAAAAACTAGATGTATGTTTCAGATATAATGTTTTAGATTTTTCTTATAGTTATTCAGACTTCAAATTTTCTTGTTTGCTATCTGCAATTCAAGTTTACCCTCAGATGGACGATGTGCAATTATTGCTTTAGGTCTTATTTTCAATAATATGTGCACGAATGGAATGTTGAACCATAGGGATACTTTTGACTTGTGTGACGTTGCAAAAAAATGTTTTTTGGATAACTCTCCAACGTACTTCACAATCAAACTGCATGTATGTCCAAAATATTTGAACAACGCAATCATGGTTTCATATATAGGAATTCATTTACCACTACGTTGACAACGTCAAGATGTTTGGAAACGTTGCGTGCTTATCTACTGCGTCATTTGAAGCAATGTACAAATTTCTAATTCGGGATTTTTGTACCCATATTACAAACAATTTTCCTGGAATTGTACTTCATAGGTATTAAAATATATTTAAAAAACACGAATGAATATTACAGATATGTTATGCGAGTGAACCTCGAACGAGAGATTAAACGAAGATTGTCACAAAGCCCATCGGCGTTATTGAACAACTTTTGTAAATATGCGCCATCATTGCAAACTCCATTCTCTGGAGCTTCGAAACCTTTAGATATTATGGGACCAAACGGAGAAAACACGTTTGGAGCGTACCACTTGAATTTTGGAATCATTCGGTCAAAACATTGTGGAATCCACACGAAGAAAGATATATTGTTCACCAAAAATTCTTCAATGAGAGTCTGCAGGTGAGCAAAGATCGTTCATATATTTTTATGACGTTATTTTTAGATTTATCTATGTTTTCAAAGAAGCCGAAAGATGGATGTGTTGCGTCCAGAAGTTTGAAGAAGAATACAACAGTTTCACGTGGTTAAGGAACTTGAAATATCGAAAATTGTATGAGATTGTGCGGTGAGAAAACTACTCTCTAAAACTGTATTCTATCGATTTTATTTTTCTGCAGGAAGTACTCATTCTTATGCAACGGGAAGTTCTCAACGGAGGAGGTTTTTATCGGTCTGGATGAAATTGTTGGTATAGGTTGTTTGATCGAAATATCGAATGGGTACATCGCAATGTGCGTTTCTACAGGATGCGGATATCATGCATAAAGGCTTACTATTTTTTCACTCCTTGTCTCTTTAAATATATGTCAAAAAATATATAAATCGTTTATCATGTCGTTGAATTCATCAATTTTCTCACGTTAAATTGGTTTGTAACCTATTTGAACAATACATTTTAAACAGTAATTTAAATCGGATAATGTAAATTTAGGAACAGCATGGCAGAACATGAACCAAGAGCTTCACCATTGTCGAAGAAGAAAAAATTTGAATACCTGCAGCCACGAGAACATTTCAACGGTACAACATTTTATTTACACTTGTTTTTTTCAAATATTCTCGACGATAAGCAATTAGTTTCACTCAGAAAAAAAATTAACGACACTCGTGTATTTTTAAAGCTATTTTTGTACTTATAGAACAATTATATGAAGAAGAAGAAGAAGAAGAAGGAAGTACGCTAATTGAGGATATGGAATCGACAAATAAGGCTGAGGACGTATTCTTAGTATGTTTTACTTTGATTTTACTCGTGGGTCACATGTTGAAATATTTCTGGAAGGGGTTAAAATATGCATAATTAAATAATTATGCCATACACAAAATTATGAACACGGACAACAACAGTAATCACAGACATAGGAAAAATAAAAACAAGCTTCAAAATTACATATATTGCATTATTTTCAGAGAAGAAGCCACCGGAGGTCACATCTTCCTCATAAATACTATGATGTAATTTTGTTTTATTCTTTTACTAATATTGTTCTGGCGTCTTTCTTACAGTATTACGAAACATCATCAAATGCATTGCATCGGAATAAGCCAACCACGGAGCGCGATCCTTTGGATATAGTTACCCATGTCCGCACAAACAAGGTAAATTCTTAATTTCACTTTTATTTGCCTCGTGTAACGCATCCTCTCCCGGCGCCATACGGGAGAGTACCGTTAACCTGTCAATGCCCTGACTAGCTGACCAGATATCCACAGTGTGATTAAATATGGTTTATTGTGAATAAATGTAGATGGGCCGGTGCCCGGAGGCATCCGGCCTGTAAAGCGGCAAGCGTACCAACTCCCAAAAAAAGGGGCTGGGCCTCCCTCTCATAGTGAGATGGAGGCGCAGAGATGCAAAGGAAAACTCGCCTATGCATTAGTGAGAGTGTATAGGTGTCTGCGTCTACTATTTCGTCGCACTCGGAACACCTTGCCATACAACCAATATCTTTAATGTTTCATTCAATTTAGAAGTCGAATGAGCCGCTGGTTAAAGATGGATACCTCAACGCATCACAGCTTGCACGCCGTGTAATTTTCTCTGGTGGCGACATAGCGAAATCTTACGATGAAGTCAAGGTAACAATTAATGAACATAGATTTGCTGTTAAAGATAAATTCATTCCAGAGTTCAGTAAATAACTTTGTAAAAAACGCAACAAATGGAAATGACGTGGACGTTTTTGCAAGAAAAGCCGAAGCAGAGAAAGATGAGGGCGTGAAAGAAATGTGGATGAGTATGTGCGGGATGGCCATTATGGTATGAAAATTTTAATCTGCTCGGACAATGGACTATACAGTTTTTTTTTCAGTTTAATGGACTAGACGAATATCGAACGCGCATCTGGAAAAAGGTATTGAATGCATAATGATATGTGCAGTGAACTTTTTCAGAATAAAGTTGATATCGATGAGACCATCTACCTATTCCAAGGCTGCTTATTGAATCACCAACACTGTAAATACACACTGCCGTCGGGTGTAGTTGTCGATATCGCAGAAATCTGCTCAAAATTTGTCGGAAGTATTGGTCAAAACCTTCTGACATCGGCATCGAAACTGGTGCGTCATGTATTTGCCGAGGTTTAAAGTTGTCTTAGATAGAGCTCATATATATTTTGCAGATTTACGATAAGGATAACTACCTGATAGCTTATACCTTGTTAGGAACGCCTGGTGCTCGTCTGGAATATCTCCACATGGATTCTGCTGTTAATCAAATGATATCTGGTAATTCTGATAATACATACATATGTGAACAATGTTAAAAAAAATTAAGAAGCATTGTTCATTGGATTAGATATTGCTCCAACGACGGATCAAGCTACTTCAGTTGCTGTGCAAATCAAAGAGTCTGCGATTACTTTCATGTAGTTATGCGAATGTTTCACTAAATAACACCATGTACTTTTAGCGATCGCCTTCGTTCAAATTATAACGATCAGAAAGGATCTCACCACGCTAGCAAAGTTATGGCGCATAGTTTGGCTATCAAAATTGGAAAAGAGCACCAACTCAAAAAACTGAAGCCCGATGCCGCTGAATATTTCAATCAGCATTTTTCTATTTAATTGAAATTTGATATTTCTAATGTTAAACAATTTATTGTATTTTTCTTTTTTTTTATTTTGTTGTTTTCCGTTTACTGTTGTTTTTTCATAAAAACCATCCAGAAGAAAAATAGACGCAAAATAGATGAATAAGAGACAAGAAGTAGACAAAAATGGGTTAAAAAAAGGATGAATCATGGATGAGAAATAGATAGAAAACTGATGAAAAATGCAAGAACGAGGGACAGAGACAAGACATAAAATGGATGAAAAATAGATGAATCCAAGATGCTAAATAGATAGAGAATGGCTGAGAAATAGATGAAGCGCTGATGAAAAATAGACTTGAAAATAGATCTGTTACAGATCCCTCTTTCATCCAAAGTCTGCACTATTTTTCAACTATTTTTTAACTATTTTTCGTCTGTTAGCGCAGTTGCAGTGTAATAGAATTTTTAGTTTATAATGTGCCCAAAATGTTTGGACCAATATTTGTAGATGGACCAATAATGACATCGGCATTATACCGACGAATGAGTTCAACAGTTTTCCCAGCCGATTGCGCTTCATCACAGTCATCGAACAAAATAGTCGAGCTTAAATTAGTGAATCGCTATCGAAATATTTACAAAATTAAGAATACTTGAAATCGTAACCTGGTAGTAGGTTTTCTCGTTTTATTCGCTCAATTGCAATGTCCGCTGCACTTGCAGAAGTTCGATAATTGATATAAGGTCTCTTCGATGAGATAGTCTGGAATCAATATGAATACAAATAAAAATAAATAAAAGGGCAAAAACATCGCAATGCAGAAAACCCAGTTGAAAAATTCTTGAAGGAGGCTGCGCGAATATCTTGAAATGGAATGAATTTTGTTGGTACCATAAACTATTAACTTACACCATTATATAGAATAAGTAGAATACAAAGATACATGACAATATTGCTTTCAATCTCCAACAAAGTTTAGCATATAAAATATAAAAACAATTTACTTTTTGAAGCACTACAAAAGAAGCCATTTGTCAAATGAACCGGGCTTTGATTTCAGATGATCGTGAGTTCAACGTTTCAAGCTATTATATGGTACGTCTTTTATATATTTAGTTCGTTCAGCGAAATATAATTGATTATTAAGTTTTCTTTAATTTTGGTGCGCCGTGTTCCAGCATTGATAAAAGCCAATAAGTCTGCATAACTCCTTTACCCTAAATCAGAAAGCAATTGTCTGAAATTGGAAAAAATATATGGAAGACCTTAACGATAACTTCCCCTCTGGGTTCGGTGATAAATCCTCCAAGCTCGGTGAGCAGTTGGTTAGCTTCACTCGAGATGTGCACTTTTCCAGCTGAACAGGCTATGTTGGGCTGATGATTCAAATCGTGCGAAACATACGTTTGCTGTTACTCTCCATTCGACTCGCCGTGTTCACAGCATCGCCGAATAAGCAATATCTCGGCATCGTCAGTCCAACAACTCCGGCAACCACAGAACCTGCAAACTCGATAGAATAATTAATTAATTATTAAATTGAATGATCATCACCGCTATGAAATCCGACACGAATTCGAATTTGTTCGGTCGGAAGATGAGGGACTCGAAAGTTGTCAAGAGCTCCTACAAAGAGCAGAGACATGCTGGCAATGTGTCGGACATGCTCCTTGCCATTCCGATGGGGCAGTCCGGACACACACAGATAGCCGTCTCCGATTGTCTCCACCTGAATGCTTCTTTATTTCGATTCTGAATAACTAGAAGACCTTATAGACATCGTGTTGGTCAATGATGCTGTCGAATATCGTATAGAGATCGTTGAGCAGATTGACAACTTGCAACGGGGTGCACTTCGAAGCGAGTGTCGTGAAGCTGACGACGTCGGAGAAGAACAAAGTAACCATGTCGAATGTTTCTGGCTCAACCGTTTGTCCGAGTTTCAGTTTATCGGCCACTTGTCTGCAAATGCTTAAATTTGCTGATTAATCGATTCTACGATACTTGGGGAGCATTCGATATAAGAGTACGTCGGACTTTTTCTTCTCTTCAACCAATTCCTTCATCCTCTCAGACACCTCGTCTTCCAAAGTAGAAGCATACGATTCGAGCACATTGAACACGTGATCCATCAGATTGTCATTTCGGTTGTTGTTCATTCCTCTCAGCTGAGAATACACTTCCCTAATAGTGGGCCTCTCGGAAGGTCTCTCTGTCCAACAGTCACGAATGAGGTGAAGCTAAACACGATGATGTCTTCTTGATTCTTCAATACTACAAACCAATGCTGGATTTATTTCCATGGCTTCTTCGAATTCCAAATCTGGACGTGGGGCCTTCATTCCTCCCTTTTTGATCAAATAGAGCAATTCTAAAGCAATTCCAAATTCTCTGAAATCTATAACAAACTACCTTCAGCATCTTCTTTTCGGTTTTCAATATCAAAAACAGATTTCCGTGTAACCAATTCAGCACTAATTATTCCGAAACTGTAAATATCTCCTTCTTTGCTTCCATCCAAATTATCATTCCTCAAATGTTCAGGAGCTGTCCACAAAAAATCTGAAGCATTCTTCAATATCGTCAATACCATCTTAAATCCAACCGTTTTTCGAATATTGATCATTAATTCGAAATTTTCTGATTCCAAACTCGGATATTTTCATCTGCCATCGATCACTCAAAAGGCAGTTTTTGGAAGTAAGCATTCCATGATGAGCGATTGGAGAATTGTGAAGATAACTGATTCCAGTGACAATATCCTTCATTAATGGATAAATGAAGAATCCGTCCATTTGGATTGTCGCTTTTCGAATTACATCAGCCAGACTTCCTCTAGAACAATATCTCCATACCGACAATAATTGGGGACCATCCAACGATAATCCAATGAACTTATTTAGATTTGCATGATCGACTTGAAGAAGCTTAAAGTATTGTTATTTGAAATAAGACTAGAAATCACTAATCAAACCTGTCTCATTTCGGCACACTCATGCTTATCAAATATCGGTCGAACATTGTGCTTTCGAGCTGCAACTCGTTCAAGCTCCATTCCGTTCTGTAATTGATCATATAGTGCTAGAAATGATCCAAATGAGAATAATACTTGTATCGTCATGAACAGATAGTGTCTTTTTTCAGCAGCTTCGAATGAGACCCCAGATTTTGATGATGAAATCGTACTGGGACCACTGCTTAAACTGTTCATACTTTGATCGGCTCTTTTCTAAATTAACATTTGTTTAGATAATGTTCTCAGAATGTACCTTTGTTGCTGGACTCATTGAATTAAACGGGATTTGCCACAACGCATTTTGTCGCTCAACTTCTAATCGCTTCATTCTGAATGACTATAATCGCATGCGCTTGGTGATCTTCTACGTACCGTATTGTTACAATAAATGCTGACAATGCTCCAATAAGTGCAAATGAAACTATCACAATTCCAGCAACAAACCAACCAAGGTACTCGATAAATACACTCGGCTTACACTAAAGTAAATCATAATGTGTTTTAAAAGTTTAAATATTTGACTAACATTCAATCCCGTAAATCCACAAACAGGTTCATCAAGAGGTCGCTTCTGATTCTTTCTAGAATGCCAAATAGCAGATCCTTCATCCGTATACGTTTTGTTCAGAAACTGAATGTATGAATATTATAATTGAAATATTGTTCTCTCTTACTCCTTCTGTATTCGTGACGACTACGGTTCCCATAATAAATGCAGTGCTATTTTTATCAAGAGTCAAAATGTACATCGTTGGATTACGGGCACCGTCACTATTTATTTCAACGTTTCCCGATACACCTAAACATCAATTTTTGCATTGTTGAGTGGACTACAATTTACCCGTGAATTTTTGATGAAAATTTTTTAAGAAAAACGTTCCATTTTTGTAATTTTGTGGGCTCGTCTTAATTGTTCGGCTCATTGCCAACCCATACGAATAAACTGCATCGTGCAATTGTCCAGCATAAGTCGCCGCATTCTGATAAATTTCATCCGCACATTCTTCGACGCAGTTGTACGGCGGTTTCCTCATTCTCGAAATCACCTCTTCACCGAATACTGAATAATTCGTAGCTTGTTGGCCTTGTCCTTGCATCTGAGTGATCATTAAATGCTCTCATCCTCCAAAAATAAAACAACATCACAAATAAAAATGGTCCTCAAGAATCCTTTTCTCGCGAGTTCGTCGTTTTCGTTAGGCCCGCTGGCTTGTATCCAAGGCGGTCTCGTCGTTCCATCAGAATTCAATACATCTTTAAAAACATTTATAATTATATTATTTTTATAATTCTTTTTTAACTATAGCCTTTCGATCGAAGCGACGGTAGAATGTAAACATATTCATCGCTTGCATACCCATTCTTCTCGGCTACCATCATCAACCTTCTGTGAATGCCCCGTGTATTTCCTTCAGGAAAGCAAACAACGATAACTGAAAGGAATGTAGTGCTTAAAAAACGGCGAATTAAAACTTCGGCCTCTTTTTGAAAGCTCCTTCAACGCTTTCAGCATCCCCTCTTCCGAATCATCCAATATCTGATAACTATATGAGAGGGTCATATCTCCATATTTGGAAACCATTGCCTAATTTTAATTGTTGCATCAATAGATTATGATTATCTAACTTGTAGGTCATCTCGTAGCGGCACGCATTTATCATCTTCATCAATTAAAGAGTATCCATATACGAATTGATTCCATTTGAACTCTTTCAACATTTCGCGGAAAGCCATTACCAAACTGTAACACATATCTGTTTTATAAATATTTGTTTTTCAACCATTTGAATTTAGATTTATATGTTTGAGAGTCTTCAATTTGTATTTTAATTTTTTTCAACAAATTTTCATAAATGAAAAAGCAACACTTCTACATATAAAATCAAAAACTACCAAAGTTTGTTAAAATTGAGATATCAGGCAAATCAAATAAAATATTTTGAGGATCAATTATTCAATGATAAACTCTAAAATATTTTGAGAAAATCTAAAATTTATTGATACTTTCTAAAATTATTGAGAATCGATAAACTTAAAAATATTTTTAAAAATCTTATATAGTCGACCTCCGGCGACTGCTGTACGCGGGCAGATTTACTTGCATGGGCCTTGAAAAGGTCTCGCCACATGTGAATGCTTATTTTGCTTTTTTCACGTGAACGATTCATTTTTTCTTGATGACTTCAGCATTTCTTTAAATTTCTAACGTCGTTAGATTAAAAAATTATCGAACCGGTCCATAAAATTTGAAATATCCTGTTAGTCCTTGCGAGACCATTTCGAAAAAAGCATTTCCGTAAATCTACCTGCGGACAGCAGTTATTAAAATTTATTGAGAAACTTCTAAATTATCCCAATAAATTCTAAAATCTTATAATAATTTCTAAAGTTGATTGAGAAAAATCTAAAATATTACAGAGACACGTTAGTTTCTCAATGAATCTCAAAATATTTTATTCGATTTACCTGAATGGTCCAAACTAGCGACAACGGTCTTCTGACATTGACGTGGATCACAAGTGCTATGCAGGTTTTTCCTAGCTCTTCCAATTTTAGTAACCATCGATTCTCAAATTTTCTGGTACTTCCACTTTCTGCACTCCATACGCCCGGAAACATTTTGGACCCCATAAAAATAAATTGGTCGTATTTTTGAAAACATTGTTTCGGCAATCGTTAAGTGTGCAACCTTCAAAAGTATAAAAATATGATAGAAAATGGATAAGATATCGGAAAATCTTTAAAAAAAAAAGAGCGAAAATTCTATGTTAATTCGTTGCGGAGAAAAGCGATCGCGAAGTAAACAAGATGCGTATTGTCGTCAAATATAATGCACAAGTCCGCATTTTTTTCTGCTTCATTTCGAAATTTAACGTCTTTTTGTAATCGATTTTCTCGAATTAACGTAGAAAATTCTTTCTTTGTTCGATCTTTTCGATTTTTTCTCTATTTTTCATAATTTTTTTATACTTTAATGGTTTCCTCCCACTTAAGTTCAATAAAAATAAGCAAGAACTAACACGTACTTTGGACTTTATAGCGTTGATTTAGTGATATGTTCATTAATCAAATACATAGCTTGATTTTAATAATACCTTCTTGAGGTCGCTGAGATTAATCCAGCTGTTGGATAGCGAGATACATCGTCCAATTCGGTATCGCTAGTCAAACCCCATGTAATTAAGGGAATATTATAGTAGGTAACAATTGAAAATGCCGGAAATGCTGCTAAAAATAATAGAATTTTTAGTTTATAATGTGCCCAAAATGTTTGGACCAATATTTGTAGATGGACCAATAATGACATCGGCATTATACCGACGAATGAGTTCAACAGTTTTCCCAGCCGATTGCGCTTCATCACAGTCATCGAACAAAATAGTCGAGCTTAAATTAGTGAATCGCTATCGAAATATTTACAAAATTAAGAATACTTGAAATCGTAACCTGGTAGTAGGTTTTCTCGTTTTATTCGCTCAATTGCAATGTCCGCTGCACTTGCAGAAGTTCGATAATTGATATAAGGTCTCTTCGATGAGATAGTCTGGAATCAATATGAATACAAATAAAAATAAATAAAAGGGCAAAAACATCGCAATGCAGAAAACCCAGTTGAAAAATTCTTGAAGGAGGCTGCGCGAATATCTTGAAATGGAATGAATTTTGTTGGTACCATAAACTATTAACTTACACCATTATATAGAATAAGTAGAATACAAAGATACATGACAATATTGCTTTCAATCTCCAACAAAGTTTAGCATATAAAATATAAAAACAATTTACTTTTTGAAGCACTACAAAAGAAGCCATTTGTCAAATGAACCGGGCTTTGATTTCAGATGATCGTGAGTTCAACGTTTCAAGCTATTATATGGTACGTCTTTTATATATTTAGTTCGTTCAGCGAAATATAATTGATTATTAAGTTTTCTTTAATTTTGGTGCGCCGTGTTCCAGCATTGATAAAAGCCAATAAGTCTGCATAACTCCTTTACCCTAAATCAGAAAGCAATTGTCTGAAATTGGAAAAAATATATGGAAGACCTTAACGATAACTTCCCCTCTGGGTTCGGTGATAAATCCTCCAAGCTCGGTGAGCAGTTGGTTAGCTTCACTCGAGATGTGCACTTTTCCAGCTGAAAAGGCTATGTTGGGCTGATCATTCAAATCGTGCGAAACATACGTTTGCTGTTACTCTCCATTCGACTCGCCGTGTTCACAGCATCGCCGAATAAGCAATATCTCGGCATCGTCAGTCCAACAACTCCGGCAACCACAGAACCTGCAAACTCGATAGAATAATTAATTAATTATTAAATTGAATGATCATCACCGCTATGAAATCCGACACGAATTCGAATTTGTTCGGTCGGAAGATGAGGGACTCGAAAGTTGTCAAGAGCTCCTACAAAGAGCAGAGACATGCTGGCAATGTGTCGGACATGCTCCTTGCCATTCCGATGGGGCAGTCCGGACACACACAGATAGCCGTCTCCGATTGTCTCCACCTGAATTCTTCTTTATTTCGATTCTGAATAACTAGAAGACCTTATAGACATCATGTTGGTCAATGATGCTGTCGAATATCGTATAGAGATCGTTGAGCAGATTGACAACTTGCAACGGGGTGCACTTCGAAGCGAGTGTCGTGAAGCTGACGACGTCGGAGAAGAACAAAGTGACCATGTCGAATGTTTCTGGCTCAACCGTTTGTCCGAGTTTCAGTTTATCGGCAACTTGTCTGCAAATGCTTAAATTTGCTGATTAATCGATTCTACAATACTTGGGGAGCATTCGATATAAAAGTACGTCGGACTTTTTCTTCTCTTCAACCAATTCCTTCATCCTCTCAGACACCTCGTCTTCCAAAGTAGAAGCATACGATTCGAGCACATTGAACACGTGATCCATCAGATTGTCATTTCGGTTGTTGTTCATTCCTCTCAGCTGAGAATACACTTCCCTAATAGTGGGCCTCTCGGAAGGTCTCTCTGTCCAACAGTCACGAATGAGGTGAAGCTAAACACGATGATGTCTTCTTGATTCTTCAATACTACAAACCAATGCTGGATTTATTTCCATGGCTTCTTCGAATTCCAAATCTGGACGTGGGGCCTTCATTCCTCCCTTTTTGATCAAATAGAGCAATTCTAAAGCAATTCCAAATTCTCTGAAATCTATAACAAACTACCTTCAGCATCTTCTTTTCGGTTTTCAATATCAAAAACAGATTTCCGTGTAACCAATTCAGCACTAATTATTCCGAAACTGTAAATATCTCCTTCTTTGCTTCCATCCAAATTATCATTCCTCAAATGTTCAGGAGCTGTCCACAAAAAATCTGAAGCATTCTTCAATATTGTCAATACCATCTTAAATCCAACCGTTTTTCGAATATTGATCATTAATTCGAAATTTTCTGATTCCAAACTCGGATATTTTCATCTGCCATCGATCACTCAAAAGGCAGTTTTTGGAAGTAAGCATTCCATGATGAGCGATTGGAGAATTGTGAAGATAACTGATTCCAGTGACAATATCCTTCATTAATGAATAAATGAAGAATCCGTCCATTTGGATTGTCGCTTTTCGAATTACATCAGCCAGACTTCCTCTAGAACAATATCTCCATACCGACAATAATTGGGGACCATCCAACGATAATCCAATGAACTTATTTAGATTTGCATGATCGACTTGAAGAAGCTTAAAGTATTGTTATTTTAAATAAGACTAGAAATAACTAATCAAACCTGTCTCATTTCGGCACACTCATGCTTATCAAATATCGGTCGAACATTGTGCTTTCGAGCTGCAACTCGTTCAAGCTCCATTCCGTTCTGTAATTGATCATATAGTGCTAGAAATGATCCAAATGAGAATAATACTTGTATCGTCATGAACAGATAGTGCCTTTTTTCAGCAGCTTCGAATGAGACCCCAGATTTTGACGATGAAATCGTACTGGGACCACTGCTTAAACTATGCATACTTTGATCAGTTTTGCCCTGTAATTATAATTTAAAAGTTGTATAAATGCTATTTAAGAAAAAAACAGATTGCTTGGAAAACCTTTGAAGCGAGGCTCATTTGATTGAATGGTATTTGCCACAAGGCGTTTTGCCGTTCCATTTCCATTTGTTTTGTTCTTAATTAGATTACTCATTTATATTACAAATATGAGAAAACGAACCGAATACTGAAAATTATAGCGCCAAGTGCTCCGAAAATCGCAAAAGCTACGATAACAATTGCAGCAATAAACCAGCCGAGATATTCAATGAAAACATTTTCTCTGCACTGAAATTATCGATTACCAAATGAAATGGGCATTTTTTCCAAACGATACGTTCAATCCAGTAAATCCACAGACAGGCTCATCAGACGGTCTTAAATGGTTTGTCCGCGAATGCCAAACAGCCGATCCTTCATCCGTGTAAGCTTTGTTAAAATACTACAATAATTCAATCTTTAAATATTGTTTAGGTTTCTATGTACTTACACCATCAATATTATCGACGGTGACAGTAGCCATGATGAACGGAGTGCTATTTCTGTCGAGAGTCACAACGTAAAGCGTTGGATTCCGTGTTCCTTTAATATTGATAGCTATTGGTCCGGATACTCCTGCAAAAATTTCCTCAATTTTTTTGATTAGAGACAATTTATGGACCTGTAAAATTTTGTTGAAAATTTCCGAGTACATATGTTCCATTTTTGTAATTCTGCGGACTTGTCTTAATTATTCGGCTCATTGCCGATGCATACGCATAAACTGCATCATGCAATTGTCCAGCATAGGTCCCAGCGCTCTGATAAATTTCATCGGCGCATTCTTCGACGCAGTTGTACGGCGGTTTCCTCATTCTCGAAATCACCTCTTCACTAAACGCCGAATAATTCGTAGCTTGTTGGCCTTGTCCATGCATCTGAGCAAATTGAAATGACCTTCACATTTAAGAAAACCATTTGTACATCACAAATAAAAATTGTCTTCATAAATCCCTTTCTAGCAGCTTCATCTTTTTCATGCGGTCCACTCGCTTGAACCCATGGCGGTCTAGTTGTCCCATCTTTGTTTAAGACATCTGAAACATTGATAAATTTATCTGCATTTATCTAACAAATGGAATGGATTCATTCACCGTAGCCTTTCGAACGAAGCCCTGGAAACAGGTAGACATATTCATCAGTGGTGTAACCGTTCTCGTATGCAACCATCATTAAACGACGATGAACACCTTTTGAATTTCCTTGTGGAAAGCAAAATACCAAAACTATATAAAATCGTAATAATGTATTATAATTATTCTGTCTAGTTAACTTCGTCCTCTTTTGGAGAGCTCCACTAATGCTCTTAATAATCCTTTCTCGGAATCATCAGTAATTTGATATGTAAACGAAAGAGTCATATCACTATATTTCGCAACCATCGCCTGAAATCTCGAAATATTCCATATTTTTGAATAGTCTTTCAGACATGTAAATCATTTCGAAGCGGAAGACACTTTTCATCTTCGTCTATCAATGAGTATCCATAGACAAATTGATTCCATTTGAATTCTTGCATTACCTCCCGAAATGCCATCACCAAACTGAAAACAATTCGCGTTTGGGATTTTCGCCAACGTGATTTATTCAAATAATCTTCGAGTATGTCGATCTCACCTTTTTGACGTTGTTGAGATTAATGCGGCCGTTGGATAGCGGCTTACGTTATCCAATTCCGTGTCACTAACCAATCCCCAGGAAATGATTGGAATATTATAGTAAGTTGAAATTGTAACAGCCGGAAATGCAGCTGAAATGAGCACACATCATTAAATACATTAGATTAATAATTACCAAGATTTGAAGCTGGTCCAAAAATGACATCGACATTATGACGGCGAATCAACTCAACAGTTCTACCAGCCGAAAGAGACTCGTCACAATCTTCGAACATAATTGTCGAACTAAATATTACATAATTAAATGCTAAATATGTATGTATTAATGTGAAATTGACTTGAAATCATAACCGCTCAGAAGGTTTTCGCGTTTGATTCGATCTATTGCGATATCAGCCGCGCTGGCGCAGGTACGATAATTAATGTAGGGTCGCTTGACGCCAAGGGTCTAAATTTGACTGTTCGTTTTAATATTCACTTGTTCGAACCAACGTTGCAATGCAAAAATCCAAACTGAAATACATTTCCTGGCGGCTGACTCGATACCTTGAAATTCCACGTTTATTTCAATAGATACTTCAGAATGGCTTCGATTAAACAAACCGTTCGGGTATGAAAAATTATAAAATTAAGTAGATTCACGACGAGGTTGACGGGAAACAACATGATATGAATACTTGTGGTATCTTCAGCGGAATGTAATTAAGTTTTGAAGCTCTACATTGAAGCCTCTGATGATAGAGACACTCTTTGATTTTTTGATTTAATACGATGAATGTGCTTTTGACGCGGTGTATCTAGTGCGAATGTAGAGGATTTCCATTTCCGAATCTATTTTTTCTATTTACGAGTGGAAAATGAAACAAGGATAATATCTACAGTTTTATGCTATGCTATACGATTCAAAGTGAAAGCAATACAATTAATAATTGTAGTCGAATGTTAGTTCAAGACGTTAATTGTGTATTTCTTTTCGACATCAGAGCAAATGGGGAATGAATTGTGGTTTTTGACAAGTCTTTGGCTACTGTCGATGGCGCGGTCGTTTCCGGTGGCTTCGAATCCAAACTGAATTTGAGATCACCTCTCAGCACAGCGGCCGCATACTGTCGGCCAGCCGTATAGTCATTTTTCCTAGAACATTTTTTTTGTTATTGTATTCTCTTCATTTTGAAATTGGCATAAATATGCTCAAAATTTGGCGGTTAATAAAATATTGATAAAAAACTAACATGGCAGTTTCAAAATCCGAAGGAGTTATAATCATATTGATCAATTGCCCATTGAATCTTGTGCATTTCCCTCTAAAATCATTTATTTTGTAGTGAAAATGAAAATGGTAAATTTTACGTGAATATTTGATTAAAAAATGGGTGGTTTAAAAGTTTGACACCATGAAGTCGCTCTCTTGGGCGATATCTCAGAATTTCGCTTAAAAAATCGCACCACTCTTTACTAACATTTCCAAGGACCTGAGTATATTATTTTCAGTGTCTCTACATTATCTTAATTTGCACCCCAGCAATTCCAATCGGCTTCTTGATCGGCGACTCATCAGTGATGATTCTTTTAGCTTTCATATAATCATGGTCCTTTTTTGATGGAACACCAAGGCATCGAACGATCAGCTTCTGAATCAATCAATAGAAATTAATTGTTGATCATAACTACCAGCATTTTCTTGGTGCTATCGCCGGGAAACATGACCGTTCCTGTCATCATCTCGCCAACACAACACCCGGCAGACCAGACATCTTCAGATATTGTTATACACAGTCTAGTGATTTGAGAAAAGGCTACCTATGAACCAATAGTAATCCCTAGCTTCTAGCAATAATTCAGGCGCCCTGTAAAACCTAGTAACCTTTTTGTGGAGCATTTTCAATATGAAGTCAAAGCAAAGTTCGCTACCTGGTAGGATGTCGATAAAATGCTTCTTCTGACGATTTTCGCATTTCCGAAATCCCCAATTTTCAGAATTCCTTTATTATGATCTACCAAGAGGTTTACCGGTTTTACATCTCTATGAACAATAGTGTGCTGAAAATTGGAAAATTTCAATCTTAAATATTCAGAATTTAGTTAGACCGCTTGCAAATATCTCAACCCTTCAAACAGTTGCCAAGTATACAATTTAATATCAACTTCATCGATTCTACCGGCTTTCAAAACACTAGCCATCGTATCAGGCAGAAACGAGAAAACGTAGGATTCGCATACCTTAACATACTATTCACAGAGAAATGAATTATATCACTCACCGACGGCTTCACATCTGGATGCAATGGATTACTAGTGCACCTTGAGAAAGCAAAAAGCATCTGCACAATATTTTTGTGAGGTTGTCTTCCTATTCCAGACAGGAATAAAAGCTCAAAATTCTTCTCGGAAGTTCCTTCAAATCATATTTCAATTTAAAGACTCGTAAAACCAACAACTTGGCCATGTCTTTTTGATGGCAACCTCTTGTTCGGGACCAGGTGAAACTAGAGTGCCTCTGGAAATTAAGCAAATACGCGATCTGTGTTGAATCCAACCTGTAAACATTGCTGAAAACTCCCCAAGCATGCAATCTCAAATTGGCGAATCGCATTCCAACTTGTGTTTTCGATGGAAGTTCATAGCCTATCTAGATCGAATAAATAAATTATAATTGAAATTATTTGAGAAGTCTTACATGAAATACAAAACCTTTACTTTCTTCAGTGTTCATCGTCGATATTTTGAAATAAGAAATGACAATTCGAAGCGTCTTGCCGTCATTTTGAATGTTCAGCGTTTAAAATTTCCATTAGTTTCGAACAACTCCTACTTTCAATATTACAGCGAATGACATCTGGAAGCATTTTCTTTTTCAGACTAGCCGACCGCAGATAAGATAATGCTGCGGCTGCTGGGATGCACTTATCGTCGCTTTCATCATTTTTTGAAAATGCCCATAAATTAATTATGATAAGACGTCAATTGCTCGTTGAGGTATTCACACAATGAGCCCATCAAATTGTATTTTTGCCGCCGCATTATTATTATGCTCGACATTTGCATGTGTAGCAGGTTTCATTCCGCAAATAAATGAATGAAAATTTGACAAATTTCAGGGGATTCCGAATGCCCTTTAGGGTGGACATTTGACGCTTCCACCACCGATTGTTACCTTTTGACGACCGAATTGTATTCATTTGATGAAGCCAAACAGTTTTGCGAAAGTGTTGGTGGCCAAATGGCTTACATCGATTTTACAACGAAACGAGATGATTACGTAGTTCTCACAAACGGATCTTTCCTTCAACCATGGATGGGAACAAGACGAAATCTGACAACCGGAAAGTTCTATAATATAAATGGGGCTTATCTTTCACTCAGCGTTTGGTTAAAAAGTTTGCATGTTTTATTTCAATTAAACCTATTCTTCATTATATTTTAGACGAGCCTAGTGCTGATGGAGATTGTGCAACGCTCCGTGGTCTACAGCCGGCTGGGCTCAAGGCGACACCTTGCTACAAATTGCAGCCCGCTTTTTGTTATCAGTCGCCAGCGTTGTAAGTCTTTTTTTGGAAACTGTCAAAAATTTATTATTCAGGTGCAATGGAGGAAATTTCGGTGGTCTGTCGGTTCGGAAAGGATCCATCAAATCTCCAGGATTCCCAGTTCAATACTATAACAACCTCAACTGCAATTACTTAATAACTTGTAAGAATTAATAATATTCGATGCGTAATAATTAAAACTTTGTTTAGCTCCTAATAACACATACATTACAATCAGCTTCGACGTTTTCAAGATTGAAGAATGGTACGACTCGCTTACAATTTTTGATGGAGATTCTAAAAACTACTCAAATTATATCGGAACGTAAGCAATCTAAATAACCAATTAACCATGTTTTCTTGGTTTCAGTGTTTCTTCTTATAACAAGGAGTCATTTGAAACAACTTCCAACAAAGCATTTTTAGTATTCAAAACCGATTATAGATACACTGATATTGGATGGTCCCTTAATTGGGAGGCAAAGTATATAACCTTCGCTTTATTATTCGTTACTCGTTTAAATTAAGAACAATTTCGACGCCGATTACTCAGACTGGAAGCAATGGAACCATGACTTCACCAAACTATCCGATGAATTACGATCCTTATACGGAACAGATTTACAATATCAATGTTGCATATGGGTTCAATGTTGGTTCCACTTGAACAGTGTAAAATATAATTTTGATGTCTTAAAGATTAATATGACCATTGATACTTTCAAAACTGAGCAAGTGCACGATTATTTGGCAATTTATGACGGACGAATCAGAAATAATCAAACATTGGTTGCAAAGTAAGTAAAAAGCAATGAAAATTCAACATTAATATAGAGAACATTTTAAATCTCTAAAGAGAGAATTTGCCAACTCATAATCATAAAAGGGTCTCTATCCGTAGTACAGTACCCGAACACTGTTTGAATTAAAATTTGAATTACCCCATCGACAAATTTAGATGGTCCACAGTTAGTCGATGCGCTTGATTTTTTTTCTCGATGGTACTGTCGGCGTCAAACGACTGAAGGGAGGCGGAGCCTTCACAGAGCCAATAATTTTTTTTCAATTTTGTCAAGTCGTTTTACACCGGCAATATCCATAAGTTTTGAATTTTAAACATTTTTGTTAGCATTAGGTCCCAATGATCTTTTCGATTTTGATCTTTGCTTCCATAATAAAAAAAATTCGTGCAGAATTGTGATAATTGTAACGTTATCAGATGCTACCGCACAAATGATCGCAGTGGTTTGAATATTCATTTAAATTAAAATTTCATGTGCACAACATAACTTCACAAAAAAAACATTTTCATAGAGATTTAAATGATTTCGATTGGGGCTGGTTTTAAAGTCAAAAACATTGAAAAAGGATTTCAATTGATAATTTAATTTCCAGATTATCTGGAATGCAGGTCGCTCCGTGGTCGTTCCGCAGCTCCGGAAGCGCGATCTCAATGGTCTTTGTCTCCGATGGCTCGCTTCAGTACAAGGGCTGGCAATTAACATGGACAATTTGTTAATTGGCAATTATTAATAATTAATCATAAAGTGGTGTTTGTATCATTTTGATAAGTAACACGATCAAAAAATTAGTCCATTATCATAAGACAAGCGGTTGTAAATTTCGTGCTCCGGACATTCCTATTCCGATAATCAGTAGTTTTCATGATGCGTTTGGTCCTACTGCTTTCGATTATTTCAGCAGGTAAGAGTCGAAAATCTAGAAATTTATTTATTTTTTTTTGTTGAAAGCTAATATTCGACTTTCTACACTTTTTATTTAAGCGTCCTGCGCGTCAGAGTGTCCGAAAGGATGGACATTCTCTCCCGACTCGACCCAATGCTACACCATATCGGAGAGCTACTACAATTTCGATGAGGCTTTGAAGTTTTGCGATGGAATCGGAGGAATTCTCGCGTTTGCTGAGGGCTATAAAGAGAATACCTTCTTCAAAAGTAGGCGGCTTTCTATTCGAAAATGCCAAATTTTTTGAATTCAATTTTCAGACTTCACATCGTCATTAATGGTTCAACCATGGATGGGCGTTCGTCGGAATGCGACGAACGGAAAATTCCAGTCCGTCACCGGCAAATATTTCTACAACAACTGGCTTAAGGGCGAGCCGAGCGCTAACGGCGACTGTGCGACGTATCGAGGAATTGAACCGAATGGAATGAAGGTGACCCCGTGCTATAACATGCAGCCGGCGTTGTGCAAGCAAATGCCAGCACTGTACGTTGCAATCAAATTCGAATTACCTCATTGAAATGTTTTTCAGTTGCCCTAATCAAACCGAATACGGTGGTTCGCTTGTTCGTCACGGTACCATTAAATCGCCAGGATACCCTGTACAATATTATAACAACCTAAATTGTGTCTATACTATTCATTGTATTTTACTAGATGGATTGAATGAGTTGATATTTCGTTTTTAGCACCCGCAGGAACCTATATTACCATTCAATTTGATCCATATTTGGTTGAAAATTACTACGACTACATCAGTGTCTACGATGGAAATAGCACGTCTTCAAAATACCTCGGAACGTACGTGTTCATTAATTGAGTTTTGCATTGATAATCTCCTAAATATTTCAGCACGGATATTGAAGGATGGTACATTAGAAACGATTTTGAGAGTTCCGACAACGCGCTCACATTCAAATTCCACACGGACAGCACCATTACCAAACAGGGATGGCTTGCCACGTGGAATGCGAAACCCAATATGCCGCCAATTCGGGTAAACGGAAGTAGTGGAGAACTGAGCTCGCCAAATTATCCGAACAATTATGATCCGTACACGGAGCAAGCTTATTATATTACAGGCGTTGATGGATTTTCGGTGAGCTTTGCTAGAAATGTTCGTCCGAAATTCGGGTATTTCAGGTCAATGTGACTTTTGATGACTTCATCACCGAACAGCGTTATGATTACGTGGAAATCTATAATTCGAGCACCATTAGCACGCCATATCTTGTCACCAAGTGAGAATTTTTGCAATTTAATGGTCCCATGCAGATTTTGGGAAGAAAAATCGAAAATTCAGTTTTTTTTTTTAACGAAATCTGCATAGCATCGTAATATGCATACAGAACTTATTTTAAATATTCAGTTTGACTGGACCATCTATTGCACCGTACACTTACATTTCTCCCGGCAAATATGTGACATTACGCTTCATCACTGACTCAATCGTTCAGAAGAAGGGCTGGCATTTGATCTGGTCAATCGTTTGAACGTGATAATCTAATTCAATTGTACCGCATTTCGAATAAAACAATTGTATGAAAAATGGAATCTAATCGAAAGCAGTACACGCGAATTGCGACTGTTTTACTCGGCGCCGCTGCCGCGCTTTATCTCGGTTATGAGTTTTACAAGTTCGTCACGGAAATTCAAGAGGACGAACGCAAGAAACGCGAAGAAGCGGAAGAGAAGCGAAAAATTGACGACTATGAGAGAATGAAGAATGAGGAAGAAGAGGAAGAATTGAGGAAGAGGAAGAAAGCGGCGCAAATGGCGGCCGATGCCAGTTTTAAAGTCGAACTGAAATCTGAAGGCGACAGTGTGAGGAAGGATCTTGAAAGTGAAAGATTCGACCTGACCCAAAAGGTAGTCAGCAATTTTCAAAAATTCCGATTGAAATACTGTTAAAAAGAAACTCTAAAAACCGAATGCAGATTTTTTAAATACTACTTTTTTGAGTATTTCGAGTTTTCTTCTCAAAATCTGCCAATTTCAAAATATTTCAAAAATTTAACTATTCTTTGAGGTCGATAAATCGCAAATCAATTCTGTTGATTTGGACTTGTCAAACCGGCAACACGCAAATTCGAAAGACAATGTAAGAAGCCCTTCTAGAAGGAATCATAAATCAATAGTGAATTTCAGAAGCAAAAAGAAAGCCCAGCTGAATCTCAACAAAGGACGCTAAAACAATCACATCGATGTTTGTTTCCAGTTTGATTTTTTTTCTAAGAAAAATCTATAAAATAATATGGATTTAAGTAGTTTTGAGTAGATTTTCTATTGGAAAAAAGGAAGTTCGCGGAAATTTTTATTTGGTTTGAAGTTGGCAATTAATTAATATTTGCAAGTTCAACTCAAATTAGAAATGAGAATTTTTCGCTAAAATCTATTATTATTTTTATTATTTAATGTTTAATATAATAATTTTTTTTGCAGTGAGAATGCGCCGAGTTCGACGAAAGAAAAGAAAGCCGAAGACAACAGCAGTTCACGTATCAAGTGTGGATTCATCGAGTCCAACTTCGACATCGCCATCTCGCCATTAAAATCCTTCAAATAGTCAGTATATTGTTAGGAAATAAAGAAAAACCAAAAATAATTGTATTATTCCATCGATGAGTGTCCACTGTTTGTTTTTTCTTTGCCATCCATACCGCCTAAAGTGAGAGTGTGTGGGAAATTGAAATGTGCATACATAAATGTATCACTGGCACTGCGATAAGCAGTTTTCTTCTAAAAAATTTTGTTCCACTACGATGAGTCATTGTTTGCTTTTTGTCCTTTCCATTTTAGCATCGTTTTTCTCATCGTATGTATTCATCTTTTATGACTCGCTTTGAAAAAAATTATTGTATAATCAGATATAATTTTATTTTCAAAAATTTAGATCTCAAAGTTGTATCTAATACGTCAAATTGGTGCTTCTTTAGATGCATTATTCATCAAATCAACCCCCGCATTTATTGCAAAAGTTAATATCAAAACTTTATCGTCTCGATTTTTGATAAGAAGACTCCTCAGTTTGGCTAGTCGTAAATCTCAGACCCCCTTTGGTCAAACCGCCATTTAATATTGCTATTTGAAGATTTTATTGATTCGGCAAATTTCAAGAGAAACTCATATTTTCTTTTGTTTTAAATTGACAAATTGACTTTCAGGCATGCAGAAGCTTCTTCTTTTTTCCATTGCGATTCTTTCTATATATGGTGGCTTCGCAGATTATAATTCCTATACTTATCCGGACTCAATAACGCAGCCAGAGTTGTGCGGATTCTCGAGGCCATCGTTCGTTTGTGATCCGAATCAGATACTGAGCAGAAGGTCTCAAAATTCGACAGCATACACATGTAAAAATTCAATGGAAATCTTCAAAACATTTCGACATTTTTAGATGCTCTTGATGATCTACTGCTGCGCGTTCGTGGCGAGACCAATTGTAGCTGTCCCAGTTTTGAAATGTGTGATAGATCCCCACGAGGAAACACAATCTCGATTGCAATTACTGAAAAAATGAAGTTGGAGAAAAATGAGACGTACGTTTTTGATAATTTTTGGAGTTTTATTTTTAAAAATATTTTGGCGAAATGAGTTTCAGACATTCTTGAATTGTACATCGTGGAACGTCATTTATTCGAATTTTCAGATCTCGAGATAGTATTACTGAAGCGGCTCGAATTTTCGCTGAACATCTCCGCGATCGACAGCAAAGAGGGCAATGCGATGACGACATTCTGATATTTGTGTCAGCAAAAGATGAAGTTGTTTGGACGTCGGTTGGAGAATCTGTCAGAATTCCACAATATCAAATCGATCAAATCTCGAAAGAAGCAGGTATTCAAAAGAACTGAATTATTACTTGCAGCCAATTTTAAATTGTCTATTTTTTCAGAAACATTCTTCAGTAAGATGGACTACGAAGAAGGGCTTCGATGGATGATAAAACAATATAAACATGTTCTGATGAATGAGCAATTGGAAGAAAGTAAGTTCAACGCAAATCGTGATAAATTCAATAATTCAATACGAAATGCGTTTAGAATGGAATTGGCCAATTTCAAAATATTTATTTTATGCGCTTGTCCTAATAGTGATAATCGCGCTCATTGTCATCACTTCTATAATTGTTTGCATAATTGTCAAACGCTGCAACAAGAATCGAAAGGACGAGTATTCAGTTGTTGATCAGTTATAATTGAAATTCATTTGTTTTTCATTTTTAGTACCGGTATTTTTTGTATTTTGTTGACATTTTTGTATTATAAATTTAATTTACCAATTTTGACAGTTTATTTACCTAAAACTTAATTTAAAATAATCGAATTCTGTGTATTTTATCATCGAGATTTCAACATGATCCACATTTCATTAGGTAGTTAAACACTGGTTTATGGACATTACTGGATTTTAAATTATAAAAACGCTTATGAGGCAATCCAAAGAAAATTTGTTTAAAAGTGAATAAAGAAAATTTCAAAACGAAACAAAGAAAATAAAAAAAATATTGTGGAAAAATGACGAGTGTGAAAAACTGCAGCGATAACCTATGCATTGTGTGCGTACACCGAGTCGCACAACTCGATCTTACCTACAGTAATCTCAACTGAAAATTATCTAATTATTTAATTATTGATCGTTTCTTTTTATATAAAACAATTAATTTTGAATAACATGCAAAAATAATTACTATTACACTTTTTCAACACAACAATATAGATAAAACCATAAATTCACCAAGAAAACACAGAAAAAAATAATTTTTAAAATAATTAATTGAATAATTTTCAGTTCACAATTTCAGTTGTCATTTTTTCCACAATATTCGTTTATTCCTCGTTTTGTTTTTATCTTCTCTTCATTGTCCCTTTAAAATGTCAATTCCAAGGAAAGAAAAGTGACCATTTTGTTTTTCGTTTTTTTTCTGCACTCTTTCTGCACTTTTTCTAAAATCTTCTCTGAATTTTCTCCGGCAAAAAATAACACCCATCATTTTTATGAGTCGACGGATTTCAGGTACATTATTTTCAGAATGTCTATTATTCTCCAATTTCATTTAAAAAACCAAACTATTCATTTTCAACACCGAATATCAAACAAATTCGATTAACTGGATTTATTAATGTTGCATTCGAACATTGATTTTGGATTTGAAAAATAATTTTTTCAGCGAAATTCGAATCTGAATTCATATAATTCTTATTAAAAGTTTTCCGAAACTGACTCTTTTACAAAAAAACAGTAAAATCCAAGGATGAGACAAAGTTAGAGCATCGGTGACATAAGGGGATAATTGTAGAGGAATCGAACTCCAAAATGAATTGACGTCGATTTCATTTTGTATATTATGCTTTGCTAGCTGAAAAAATCAGATAATTATGATTTTTGTATAATAATAATAATATTCGACCGTATTTGCTCCAGCAAACAGTTGAATCATGAAAATGGTGAAGCCTGTAAAAATTAGATTTTTTTCGACTACAGAAACCTTCATTGGAACCACCGTTAGCCGAATCAATGTTGTGATATTCAAAATAGCTGTTAGAATTGTTACGACGCATATGAATATCAAAAGATTCCAGCTGACCAGAGATAATTGCTGATAATTGCTGATGAATGATTATTTTCTATTTGATTATCATACCACCGTGGAACGTATAATATAATAATCAACGAATGCGTTATATAGAAAATATGACTTTTGAGTTAAGAATTGGAATGTTTCAATGAGTGGCCCAAATATAATCGCAAACATAAATGGAAAAAGCCATTTTTTCCAAATCTGAATGATTTGATTCAATATTGAGTCAGACGATGTGCTTCAATAATGACTCAAATGAGCAATGACGCAAATGGATGGAGATGAACTCAAATCACAATATTTCATCATACCAATTCATACGAGTGAAACCAGAAGATCATTGTGAATCGGTTGACTGCTGTCAGAAGAATCATTAAATTCTGGACATAGGCCATATGAACATGAATAGCATGCGAAATATTCAAAGGAAGGAACGCGAATTCCATGCGAGAGTCGTATATTCGAAGAAATGATGAGAAAACACAGGTTCTGCATGTGATTAGTGGAATTCGTAGTGTTATAAATGAATTCAAAAATGTCAATAAATTCTTTAAAAAAAATAAACAGCGATTTCGAAAAGAAAAATTAGAAAACTAACCATAAAATAATCAATTTTATATATTTTAAAATAAGATCCCGAATATTCTTTGCGATCAGTGTGGATCAAGTAAACGAGTATTGTATATAATATGAAAGTCCCAAAACCATATACGAGACTTATTATGAATTCTAGAGACATCAAAGTAACGTGGTGATACTAGAATTCGAATGCGACGAAAATGAATGCGTAATGAGTGTTCATTAAATTCAGTGAATTTATTCGACCATTCGAATATTCGAAAAACAAACGTTTTGCTAGTCTAGCGACGACAAAACAGCAGGATGTGAATCTGAAAATTTTAAGAGTTGCTCGATATCATTTGGCGATTCTTACTAGGTTCTCGTGATGTGACTTGAATTGTCATCACAGGAGTTTTGGTGAATCCAAAATAAGTCTTAATGAATGAATCTCTGATCTGAAAATATTATTTAAAGCTAAAGTACTAGCAAAAGATGCGACTTTTTTGCTAAAAATGAGTAAGGCCCAAGGTTGGCACAATGTGAGAGCATCGCTAACATATGGGGATAATGTTTGAGGAATCTGACCCCAGAATGTGTTCGCATTCGATTCATCGACTAAAAATGCCAAAGCCAGCTGAAATTTGAATTTTCCGAAAAACGAATGAGAATGAAAATGGTCTCACCGTGTTCGCGCCGGCCAATAATTGTACAAGAAAGGTGACAAAACTCGTGAGGACCAAATTTCGTTCACCTGTCGAGATTTTAATTGAGAACACTGTGAGTCGAGCGAACGAGATGAGATTGCATACTGTGGTGAGTAAAGTGACAATCAATATGTAGACAAGCAGATGCGCGTATATTCTTGAACGATCCTAAATTTCGCATTTGGCCTTTTTCAAATAATATTATTAAACGTACTACATCGGATTTAATTGAATAATAATTCAGTGAAATATCAAAGCTATAGAATGATTTATGAGTTAAAAATGTGTAAGTTTCGGTAAATGGAAGGCAAATAATAAGAAAAATCAGTGGTGTTAAAGTTTTGTTCCAAATCTAGAACAACGACTATTTTGATTTTGCCTCATCCACTATTTAAGGCGAAATGTGATTTCGAGTTTTATGAAACAAACCTTACCAATTCGTATTTATGAAACCAAATAATCATTGTCAGGCGATTTACTGTTGATAGAAGGATTATCGCATATTGAACATAGGCCATGTGAGCATGAATTGTGTGGAAAATATTCAGTATGATCGATCTATTTTCCATTGTCGAAGTGAATCGATCGAAAATTGAGGCAACTAGACATTCTTTACAAGTTGCCTGTGGGATTCTCAACGTTATAAATGAATTCAAAAATGTCACAAGATTCTGGAATTTAGCACTAGATTTTCTGAATTTCCTAATGAAACAACCACAAAAAAATCGATAATGTAGATTTTGAAATATGATCCGTGATAATCAATCCATTGTCTGTTGATCATTACGATAATCATTGTATAAATAACGAAAGTCGCAATTCCATATAACGAGTTGATCACAAAACTGATCAACATGCTGAAAGGGACTTTGTGCCGAGTTCCGATGCAATGATTAACTCTTTAATTAGCTTGTCAAAAAAATGATGAACGGCTGTAAGTGCAGCACAATCTGTTCTGAACTCGGGTTCAGACAATTATAACCAGATTATAAATCAAAATAATTATCAGTGAGAAATTCTAATTTTTCCTTCTTCGATGAGAAAACCGCAATTCAAAATTATTGTTCAATTAAAAATGAAAGCTCGTTTTTCGAACTAATTGAAATTTAAAAAAAACTAAAAAAAAAACTCTAAAGAATTATTTTTGGAAAATTTCAAATCATTTGACACGATGGGCTCAAATTTAAATAAATTTGTTGAATTTGACTAGTTGATGAGATCATTGTTTTCAGACGTTTCTTTCTTGAATTGTAGTATTGGAAATTACATCAACAATTGTCGATTTTAAGATCTTTAATGCCTCCCCTCTATTTTTCGGTCTCAAAATTGTACTAATTGATAATTTTCAAGAATTCCCTTTTTTAAAACGCATTTCTTCGAAAAAGAAAAAATGAAATTAGAAAAATGATTTCTACTCGTAAGATTTTAATTAAAATTCAATAAATTTTGAACATTTTGAAAACTGAAAAAAAAAACATTTTGCTACTATGTACATAAATGATTGTTGAAAAATGTTCGATTTGTTTCCAATCGATATCGTTTTCAGCAGGGGGTCATGGAGTCTTTTCAATATTTTAGAAATTAATGGAAATTATAAACTACACAAAAATAAGCGGTTCGCTTGGTGGGAGATGTAAGCAGACGTATTGAAAACTGATAAAAATCAAGACGAAAATAAATTTCGCAGATTTTCCTGGGGGTTTTTTCCTCGCGGGAAAAACTTGCATCCGAAAAAAAAAATTTGAATGGTTTTTTCCGCACAATTATTAACAGCAAATGTTCATAAATGTATGTATGTAGCCGCTTGCGGTAGTGGCGACAACGTCTATACTCTATTATACCTATTTATATGGGATCGCATCTTTTTCCAAATTTTAAAATATCGAAATATTTGAATTAATTTCCTCGTAGTTAGAAAACAATTCTAATTTAAATAGCTTCTGAAATATTGTATACTGTCTCAAACAAGTGACTTCCGTGGAGCTAAGCGTAAAAATTTGAATTATGCAACTTGGTCTCGCCATATATCAGAAATGAAAACAATAGTATAAAGACATCAAAGACGCATACAAAAAATGTTAATTTTAGAAACAATACTGGATTTGGCATCAATTCGTTGAATTTCGGGCAGTTTAAATTTATTTATATATGTATGCTTCTCGTTATGAAAAATACCCAAAAATGAAAAAATGACCTTATCTTTTCTTAATTTTTAAAAATGTTTTTCATAATTACTCAGAGTAAAGTATTATTCATAACATGTGAAACAGCTACTGCTAATTAGATATTTTCTGGAAGTCTAATAAATTGTGTTTCTATTTGACTCTGAAAAAAATTTAATTAATGAAATATCAAATTTAAGAAATATACGGGCATCTATAGTGACTACTTGAATAATGCTTGTACTTCGATCGAAAGCTGACAAATATGATCGCACGAAGAGGTAACGGACCTTAATTGGAAAATGAAATCTTTATAAGGAAGAGGCTGGGATACTTTCGAACTGAAGAAAAGCAGTGCCCATGGTTGACATAATGTTAGAGCATCGCTGACGTATGGAGATAATTGGTCCGTAATTTTCGCCCAAACTGTGTTCAAGTTGGAACTATTTATTAAATAGTAAATTACGAGCTGAAATTAATGAATGATAATTGATAGTTTTCGAAAAAAAATACCGTATTAACACCAGCGAAAACCTGAATAAGAAATGAGATTGAGCTTGAGAAGAGAAGGTTCTTTTCAGCTGTTGAGATTTTCGTCTCAAGAATTGTAAGTCTGGCAAAGGAGGCGAGATTGAAAAACGATGTCAATACGGTACATATAAATATGAATCGTAATAAATTTGGCATATACTCGGACGCTGGCTCAAACAGGTGGATGAATAAGATCTGGACGAAGAAAAAATTAAATAGAACTTACCACAACAGATTCGCTATAATAATTATCTGAATAATCGTAGTAGATATAGAATGACTTATTGATCAAAATTTTGTAAGTGAGAGCCAGTGGTGCAAAGAAAATAAGAAGGATCGATGGAACAAATATTTTCCGCCAACTGGATTCGTACGAATGGAATGAGTAGATCATAGTGAATCGATTTAACGCGGTTAAAAATGTCATCAAATATTGGACATAAGCCATGTGAACATGCAAAGTATGGCAGACATTGAGAACGATCGAAACGTCTTCCATCGACTCGGGATATCGATCGAACACCGGCGCGAATAAACACTCTTTGCAAGTGTTTTGTGGGATTCTCAGCGTCACAAATGAGTTGAGAAATGTCAGAAGATTCTGAAGTCGTTTGATTTTTTGTGATAATCGAATTTAATTTATATGAGATTACCACGAAATAATCGACAATGTAGATTTGAAAGAAAGAGCCGCCGAGCTCTTTCCAGTTTCGATAAATCAATATGATGAGCATCGTATAGATAATAAAGGTCCCGAACCCGTATATTAAACTTATTGCGAATTGCAACTGCATTTCACCGCAGACAAAATAATTCAAATTTCAAAAATAGCCAATTAGAATTGGTGTGATAAGCATGTTTCTGAAAGACAGTCGATGAAAGAAATAAGCATAATCAAAAAGAAGGACATTCGTAAAACTCAGCGTTTAGAATGCTGACTAAATATGAACATTCAGGTGTCAAACTTTTTAAAAAAAAGCTACCGAAACGTCGTTTCTAAGATTACTATGTAGTGCATAATCTGTAATTATGATTAATTCAAATAATTGCTCTTTTTTCTCTTTTTTGTCTGCAATAAAATAAATTTATAAAACGTCAGTATGTTGGAAACACTATATTAACAAATGCTATCTATAAAATGTAAAATGAATATACACAAATTTTCGTTTGAAGCGCATGACAAATCGCATGGGAGTTGATTCATAATACCAGATTCAAATTTCGTTATTCAGGATGTATTCCCTAATTATTTATATAATTGACAAAAAAATAATTACTGAATGTGTCATTATGCGATGTTGGGAATACAATATCACTTTCGTGCGGTTCCTGGATGATGGCGAAGAGTTTGTGAAGAGTTGGTGTCGACGATATACGAGAGGATAAGAAAATAAAACAATTTTTCAAACACTTGATTAAGACTACAATTAAAGAATTAATTTCAGTGTGTATTTTTAGGCGACGACCGAAATGAAGCAGTAATGAACGAAAATGTTATTGAATTCTGCAAGTCAGACCGTCGATTGTACTCTTCAATTTCCTTGAGTAATGCCTCAGATTTAGCCCATAAATAAAGCAATAAGCGAAATAAAAATTGAGTTTTTTTTTTCGTGTAATGCAATGAAATGAAAAACAACAAAATAAAAACATTCACACGTGGCAAGAACATGACGAATGTACGCATGTTCGTACAGAAATCGCCGGAAACAAATCACTAAAATATGTATCTATTCGTGTATACTACATACATATATTAAATCAAACCACTTTATTATTTTCATGGAATTTCCCTTCTTGACACTAACTACAACTGCCTGCCAAATTAAGAAATAGGCGCGATAAATGACATCCCACTATTTTATTTCGAGTTTCCGCAAATTTGTATGCAACATTTACGGAAGAGGAGGGGCAAAAACTTTGAAGGTTCATATCTCGATAACTAGAAGGTTGTGCAGGTAGGGACCTCGTTCATTCGATTGGATATTTTCTAAAGAATCGGTATGCAAAAAAATGAAATAATTTTAAGACGGACAGAAAAAAGACCTCCCTTGTTAGATTGTTTTCATTTTTTTGTAGTTCGGTCTTCTAGTTTTCATCAAAATGTTTTAGGGGGAGACATTCAAAAGTATCAAAATATAATGAAAAATAGATAGGAAATTGGAAAATTTAAAAAAAACAGCGAAAATTCGACGTTAATTCGTTGCTGCGAAAAACGATAGCGGAGTAAACAATATGTGTATTGTCGTCAAATATAATGCACAAGTCCGCAATGTCATTTCCAGTTTCTTTTCGAAAAAAAATTAAAAATTGAAATACGAATTTCCATAAATGAGCTTGTCGCGTGTTTACACCTAACGCATTTTATTCGACGACTATTTCAAAACGTGCAAGTTTTACGCCATTCTGCATTTGGAATGACCAATTTTGGTGTTTCGAAGTCTCAGAGATGAGTAGCAATGAACAATTGACCAGAAATATCGAAAATAAGCGAAATTCAAATCATTGCGGACTTGTGCATTTTATTTGTCGACAATACACATGTTTTGTTTGGTCGTTTCATCGCGACGAATCAACCTAAAATTGTCGTCAATTTTTTTTTTGATTTTTTACCTATTATCATTGCAAAAAAACGAGCTCCTGTCATTATTGTGGACCATCGAACTTTTTCTAGGCGGAAATTCAAATTCGATTTTAAAAAGTGAGAATTTGAATACCGTACTCCGGATAACCTGCGAAGCTAACTCACCGTAAATCGGCATAGGATTCTCGTTTTTCGAGAATGTAACATTTACAATAATATTTTTTCTTTTTTAAAGGTTACACCCCTTTAACTAGTTGGAATTCGGTTACCGTACTACGGAAAACCTGCGAATCAACCTCACCTTAAATCTTCACCAGGTGATAGTTTTTTTTTTGCGATTTTAACAGTATGCATATATTTATTTATGTATTCTCTTCAAAGATTCATCGGCATTATTTTATATCTGTTGAAAATTTGGACAAATTTCTTGCAATAATTGGCTACATTGAAAACGTTTTTGTGTTCATAATTCACAAATATTCATCAACTCTGAAATGGATACTGCTGAATATTTTCTGAAATTCTAATATTGTGTGTTTCTATTTGATTCTGAAAATTTTAAATAAACGAAAAAAAAAACAGTTGTCGAAGATCATACGTGTGTCTATAGTGACTACTTGAGTAATGCTTGTAATTGGATCCAAACACGGCAAATATGAACGCACGAAGAGATAGCGGACCTGAATTTTAAGAAATAGAAAAGTGGCATCAAATGCATATGGTTCACTTTAACACTCTCTAAAAAATTTTGGCTAGGGGCAAAAAAATTGAAGCACAATTGAATTAGCAAGGCTCGTTAATTTTAAAACGCGGAATTCTTATGTTGGAGAAAATTTTTTGCGGAATTCCGTCCAACAATTGGAAAAAAAAAATGCAAAAATGGATTCGACTATAAACGTATTTTTCATAAACTGAATTATTGGGGATTTTTCAATGTCAGATTTATGTTAAAATTCGACGACTTGTGAAAAATTTGAAAATTGGGGGGAAATTTAAATTAAAAAAATTTTTCCACTGAATGCAAACATTCCAACATTTTAATTAGAAAATCTATGAAGAAGAAACTATGATACTTTCGAACTGAAGAGAAGCAGTGCCCATGGATGACATAAAGTGAGAGCATCGCTGACGTATGGAGAAAAAATTATTGTAATTTTCGCCCAAATTGCGCTTGAGTTCGAACTATCAATTAGATAGAACAACATAAGCTGAAATTAATTGATTCCAATGGTTGGTTGTCGATTAATTACCGTATTAACACCAGCGAAAACCTGAATAAGAAATGAGATTGAGCTTGAGAAGAGAAGGTTCTTTTCAGCTGTTGAGATTTTCGTCTCAAGAATTGTAAGTCTGGCAAAGGAGGCGAGATTGAAAAACGATGTCAACACAGTACATATAAATATGAATCGTAATAAATTTGGCATATATTCAGTCGTTGGCTCAAATAAAAATATCTATAGGACATTATTCAGGGGATCTTACCACAATAGTTTCGCTATAGTAATAATCTGAATGGGCATTGTAAATATAGAATGACTTATTGATCAAAATCTTGTAAGTGAGAGCCAGTGGTGCAAAGAAAATAAGAAGGATCGATGGAACAAATATTTTCCGCCAACTGGATTCGTACGAATGGAATGAGTAGATCATAGTGAATCGATTTAACGCGGTTAAAAGTGTCATCAAATATTGGACATAAGCCATGTGAACATGCAAAGTATGGCAGACATTGAGAACGATCGAAACGTCTTCCATCGACTCGGGATATCGATCGAACACCGGCGCGAATAAGCACTCTTTGCAAGTGTTTTGTGGGATTCTCAGCGTCACAAATGAGTTGAGAAATGTCAGAAGATTCTGAAGTCGTTTGATTTTTTGTGATAATCGAATTTAATTAATATGAGATTACCACGAAAAAATCGACAATGTAGATTTGAAAGAAAGAGCCGCCGAGCTCTTTCCAGTTTCGATAAATCAATATGATGAGCATCGTATAGATAATAAAGGTCCCGAACCCGTATATTAAACTTATTGCGAATTGCAACTGCATTTCGCCGTAGACAAAATAATTCAAATTTCAGACAAAAACAATTAAAATGAATGTGATAATTGAACAAAAATTTGTCTGAAAAACAAAATTATAATTGATGATAAAAACGAAGGCGTCAGACTTAATAAAAGGTTGACCAAAATGTTTAAGATTGATATTACATAATGTGTCATTATAGGTTGCTCAATTAATTGCTTCGTTCTTCTAGTCTGCAGAAACAAAGCATAATAAAATGTCAGTAGGCGATGCTGGAAACACTACATATTAACACATCTTGTCTATATGTAAAATGCTGAAAACGAATCAGTCGATTTTTTTGCTATGAAAAATCGCATGGGACTTGATTTGTAATACCAGATTTTCGTTATTCAGGATGTACAAACTACATATTTTCTAATGATAATGACTTACATAATTGGCGAAAATAATTACTGAATTTTAATTACCGCATAAAACGTGATAATGTGATGGGATATATCCAACAAAAGCTGGATTTGTGAAAATCTTGACAACGGGCAAGCTGAACGACAGATTAGCAATTGGAAGCATTCAGAATAGATCTATACAGAATTTTTTTTTCAGAATCAATAAACCATGTGAGCAATAATTTGTCGTCTGTCGACGCGATTTGAGACGTGCTCCCAATTGTTTTAGAAGCCAAGTTCATACAGAATTTAGAATCAATGGTGGGAAAACGATATTCAAGCTAAAAGCAGTGTCATTTTCTGATATCATCTTTCATATTCCTTCTAATTGACTTCATCTGAAACAAGATGATTCCGGCAAAAACTATAACTCAACTCCTAATCAACAGCCAATCATTTCTTCCTCCGAAATGAAGCAATGATATGCAAATTGAGTTTTTCGCATTTTTAACGACGAATACGAAATTTAATGTAAGATAGCATAAAAAATTACAGCAGTCTGGTATTAAAGCGCAATGAATCAGGACACACCGTGAAGCATGCGAATTCAATAGCCGAGTGGGTCGTCACCGGTCGATAGAAACAACAGAAACCGTCATGCGGGTTAACGGAGAGGAGAAAGGAGATAATGAAAAAATCGGTGAAGAAAAATCTACACCGGAAAAGAGAGAGTCGCCGGCAACGGACAACGGATGCACCTGCGCACAACAATTCAGTTGCTCACTCTGTCGGAAATCTGTTATGAACATCGGAACGAACGGTTTTGGAAGAAACTGAATCTTTACCTCTTGTAAATGATTCAATCAATTGATTTCGAAAATATTTCGTTTTCAATCGAACTCGAATTTGTTTCGAAGAACACGAGAATTTCAATCGAATACGATTTCAAAATTCAAAATGAGAAACTAATCAACCAATTTTGAAGATTACTAATAGAAACCATGTTCTCAATTCGAATTTAAACATTTTTTTCAATCAAAATAAATTAATTTGTATTTTATTTTCGTTCGAATCCCATTGGTTTTCAGTTATCTTGAGTAGTGTCTCAGATTTAGCGCGAAGAGTTTGTGAAGAGTTGGTGTCGACTATAGTGTGAGACTAGTTAATTTTTAACTCGGTCAACTGGTTAAAAAGCTGAACAGTCCGCAAAATTAAACCACCTAGTGGTTTCATCGACAGTCGGTTAACCAGTTTATTGCAAACAATGGTTAACTAGTTAAACAGTTGTAACTGGTTTCGAAAATTAACCGATTAACCCTTTGATTGAAATAAACGGTTCCGGGAATTAACCGGTTAATATAGTTAAACGGTTAACCATTTCGTGAACTTTCAAGAAAAACCAATTTTTCTGCTAAAAACAATTGATTATTAATTCATAAGTGAGTATTTTCTTGATTATTCTTATTGTTTTTTTTTTCAAAAGGCGAGAGTACAACAAGAATTTTTTCAACGTCGATTTCCATTTTACAGCAAAATCGAATTTTTCCCTAAAATACCCATAAGATAATTCCCATTTAATATGGTATGTTGGCTACCACGTACGCAGTAGTATTCCGAGAGGAAATCGATCCAAATTTTCCGCACACTATGGATTTGGCTGAGAAATGTCCATTGGTTATGGTGAACTCGAATGAGCTTTATGATCTACCAAGACCAACTCTATCGAAGGTGGTGAATATTGGAGGATTGGGTGTCGGCTTTGATGATGCCAAACCGCTGACAGGGGTTTGACAAACTTGAGTAATTGTGCAAATGTGGTGATATTCAGGAATCTGAGAAGATAATCAATAGCGGAAAGGAACAGTCGTATTCTCATTCGGATCGGTGGCTGCTGCCCACAAAATGCCCGAATTGTGGAAAAGCGCCCTTTTGGAAGCATTTGCTGAATTTGCAGACTATCGATTTGCGATGAGAAACGTTGAGAACGACCTGAATGGTGTGTTGAATTTTAGAATACTCCGAGAAACTCAATAATTTCAGTTCATTTCTCACGGAGGACATAAGTCTTCAGGTACATTACATAATTATACGTCATTCTTATCTATTTCTAATTGAATTATATTTTAGCAATCAATTTCTTCGGGTACTCCATTAGTCACCATTGATCAGCCAAAAAATTCGTAAATCGCGCTCAAACATGGTATCAATTATATCATCTTAAAATTTGTCATCAAAGTCTTAAAGGAATTGCTGTAAATATTGCAAAATCGGAAATATCGAAGGAAACAATTGTCAGCAAATTGAAAGAAATTCTTGAGAATCCAATGTGGGTTTTAATTATTATTTTTTTGATTTTTTCAATATTCGATTCAACTTGGATGAGAAATTCCAAATTTTACTATTGGTTGTTGACTACTGTTAAAAGGTTGCCTTAAGTTTAAAAGAAATCGCCATTATTATTTGCCGACAATTTTTTCGCATATTTTTGTCAACTTTTTAGCAGAAGCCAATAAGAAGTAGTGAAGCCAGCAGAATTGCTTGTGAAATGGTCGAAATTCGTGGCCGAATTCAAAAGTTTGGAATATCTCGAGCCGGCCGGCCAAAAACTCAATTTCTTCCAATATCATTCAATCGATGTCATCGCATTCTTATCCACTATCTTGACAAGATTTTTGCATGTATTTTTAGAATGTGTCGTTGTAGAAAACCCGAAAAATTAAAGACTAATTAGGAAATAAATCATATTCTTTTTTGAAAATATTTGGCAAAAACTGTTCGAAGACAAATATGGGATACAAGAGAGATTGTATGGAAAATGTGTTGCATCGATTCCCACAATTTCTCATTTTCGAAAACCACCAGGAAATTACTCAAAAAATTTGGAACGCTTCACGAATTTGCGTGTCATCCTTGCGCAGGGGCCATGCTAATCTTCTCTGTATTGTTCCAATTTTAGTATATGTTCTCGGAAGAACGAAAATGCCTCGTTCCACACTCTTTATATTGCCTCCTATTTGACATGTACGGACGTGCTAGCGGGACATGGCACAGTCTATGTTTCGCACTTGACGAGCAACTGCCTATTTAGGAAATACACTGCATATGGAAGATTGCAATTATTCGCAGGTTATTTGTAGTAAGGGAAAATCCCGACTGTTTAACTCGAAATTTAAACTATTGCCCGGAAAAAATTCGGTGGTTCATAATTACACAAGGTGATAATTCCTTTTCGCGATGATAATAGGTCCAATTTCAAATAATCCAGTATTACTATACCCGCATGAACATGGATTCAGAAGAATATCGATAGAAAATTGGCAAATTAACATTTGAATTGAAAAAAAATTAAGAAACCCATATTTCGGCGGGTTGAAGTGATAATTTTAGCGATCCGACACGTCAAATTCAGCCAGTATGATACAAGGAAAACTCTTAAAAACTCTTGAATTCAGTCAGTCCCAAAATTTAAAAAAAAAACGCGCATTTCGCAAAAAAGTTGTGACACAAAATTATATTTATATAATACGAAACACAAACCTCTGAAAATACATGCTGTGCTAGAGATTCTATCAAGTGTACGCGGGCCCTCATACACCCGTAGAACCTCCCACAACACATTTCTTTTTTGATTTTTGATTAAAAAAAAGAGGCGGAGAATCAAAAACCAACTTACCTTGGGCCCAATTCGTGTGAAAACCCTTCAAACTACTCAACAATCACAGTTTCGCTAGAGCATTTTTGAAAGGGTTTAACACGATGTTCCCATTTTCAAAAAATGGCTTACCTGACTCTTCTAAATAGTAAAGGATTAATAAAAAAAATTAAAAACAATGGACAAAATCAAGGATAAAAATAAGAAGGAAATCAAAGATATTGTCCAATTTGATTCGAATTTAGCGGATAGGCAGATCGTCGAAAGTTTCATCCTGCAAATATATGAAATTGGATCTGGTTGGATCCGACAAATTAATTTGTTGAATTGCCAATCGGATGAGGTTGATTCTGGGGCCGAATTTTGTTGAATCCGATTGGTTTTGAGATACCAGATAATTGGATTAAACTTTGTGTGAACACTTCTACTTCTTACGGGTTGGTTTGAAAATATCCGTGTTCAATTTTTGCGCAAACGAATGCCCTGTCCGGAATTGACATCACAAACTACTCACATTTGCTTCAAATGGTGGCAGCCTCATGTCGAAGAGGCGTGCCGCAGTATTGCAAAACAGTGCGTCGTTTTGCACAATTCTGCCACGCCCCACTTTCGAAATTCGTTTTCAACATTTTTCTATTTTGCTTTTCTCAATGGGTTTTTTGAGATAATTGCCAATATTTTACATCGGTACAGAATTATAGTAAAAAAAATTACCGAAACATCGTTGGTCGAAAATTATTAGTCAAAAAATTAGTAAAAAATCACTATTCAACAAAGTCAAATCAAGTAAATTTGCACTTTGAAAGCTAATCGTACGTAAACAGTTATTATGCACAAACTCGCCAATTCAGAAGTTAATCATAAAAAAAACATTTCCAACTTTTGAAAATTACCTCTGTCAAAAATATGCACTTCATTCTTTTTTTACACTATTTCCTTTCTTCTTCGTTTATTCCTGAAAATATAGGTGATTAGTTTCTAAATTGTGTTCGAACCGTACGACTATCTCATCTGAAGCTGACCTCCGCAACTCCGATAGCCGTACACGTGGGTTTTGAAACTATAAATGCCCTATTAATAAGAGAACAAAATTATTGCTCGCATTCTAACGATTGATTATGCTTAGTGTGTGATCATCTTCTGATCTGAAATTGAACATTCAATTTGAATTAATGAGAAAATAAAGTCACTGTTTGCGCAATTGCACTTTAATCCCCTCACATGCTCCATTCAGTTTCGAAGTTTTTCGATCTGAAGCAAATTTTTTTTTTGAAATGTTAAAAAAATTATTTTAAAAATGTCACTGTTTCAAGTCCTGCCATAAATCTTCGCCATCCTCCATCTGTTGGTCATTTGTTGGCACAGTGTTCATGAAAAAGTTGAAGTTTTAATTATAATTAAAAGTAATATTTTTATTACTATCAATAGTTTAAGCTTATAATTTGTCATGTTGCGATTTCAGGAAAAAAAGTAGAGACCTTCGAAAATTTGTTGCCAATTTGGCGGTCCCTACATCGGATGGTCCCGACGCCACTCCACCGTGTGCGCCTAGACTTCCCCAGGCATTTCCCTCCTGGGTCGGACCCTATGGGTCACCGAAGCGGGACGTTGGTCCGCGTCTCGTAGCATGAGAACGCGGTGTCCGTGCGGGCTCTCTCAAATCCGACTCAACGAATGTTCTCGAGACACGCTCACAGCGGTTCGGAACCTTCGATGTCGGGACAAAAGAAATCGCAACTTTCAAAATATTTCTTAATTTTAACACACTTTGATAAAAACTGTTTAAAAAATCATAAAAGAAGAAGAAAACACTTACACGGCCGATTATTAGCCACATATCGGAGATTGAAAAGCACAATCGAAAAAGTCGGAGCAAAATTGATCTAAAAATAAATCCATTTTTATTTTCTTTAAAATAAGCAAAAATAATTAAAAATTGAGGAAATTTGTTAAAATTTCACAACGGTTAAAATGAAAATGAGATCAAGCTCTTTTAATATTGTGACCCTATTTTTCATTAATAAGCTTAAATCTCGTATTTACCTTCTTAATAATGTTGTTGTTTTCAGAGCTCTTCATCGAAATAACGCAGCGCACAAAACGCTGGCGAAAATGGAAAAATTAGAAATGAATGAAAATGAAGTTACGTTGGTTTTGATATTTCAAATATTCACGTGATTATTAGTTTTTGGAGAACAACCTGCCTAAAAATAGAGAAAATTTCACATAGAATCGGATTTTTTTTAATCAAAAATTACGAATACTACAAATTTTGGACGATTATTTGTTTCTACCACTATCGAAAATAATAGTAATGAACTGAATGAGAGAGCAGTTTTACTTTTTTGAAGTACGCGAAATTAAAAATTACAGCATTTAGTAATATTCCAGTTTTAATTTTCTTTGTTAAAATTGTTTTAATTTTATTTTCATTTTTAATAAATTTTACCATGGGAATTACTTGAAATGTTCGCCAAACTAATGTCAACTTCTAACAACATGAACTTGAACTCCTAACTGGTCCGAATTCGAAATTTTTCAAAAGTTTAAATCATTGTAGCAGTCTTATAATATAGAAATTAATACGGAATGATAATTCATTGCGTAACAACGAAAAAAAAAACAATAAGGAAAACAGTAAAAAATATTACTTAAAAATTATTACATATGACAATTTTAAAAATTTCGAATTCGGACACCCTTTTACACTTTCGACACGTTTTAGTAATATTTTCTGACATATCTCATCGATAGGATCGTTTTCTTAAATTAAAAAAAAAAACGTCGAATTCGAACCCTCTAGGGCCACTTTTCAACGGTTTCTATACGTTCTATTTCCTTTCTGACATATTAGATTGCAGATCATTTTCTGAAATTTCGAAGAATTTCGCTTTTTTTGACTGATATTTTTGAGTGATATTACGAATTTTGAGATGCCGAAATTTTAAATCATTTTCATGAAACCGGAGCGCCCGGTCTCATTGTCATGCCTGATGGACAGTAAAAAAAAGATACTTCAGATTGGCGCCCAACCGTTCTGATATTATGTAAATCTTTGCTTTCTTGTTCTTCGATTTTATAGTTATAAACGTTTGTTGATAATGTTTAATTGCATTTTTTGAAAAAAATTAACTTCGCCCCCATTGTCATGCCTGATGGGCAGCAAACAGAACACTACCTGAAACTAATTCTTTGAAAATAATCCATATTTAACTCGAAAAAACTTAGGGAAATAAAAACGGGGTGGAAAACAATGGACGGAAAAGGTGTGTCATGTGGGTTAAAATGTGGGTGTATATGGCTCTTTCAAGAAAAAAAAATGTCGTTCCGGTGACAGTAGATTGCTGTTAATATTTATTTGCATTGCTTGAAAAAAAAGAGTTTGGCCACATTTGTCACTTTCAGTTCTGAAATCAAGGTCCCATTTGGCAAAAAGGGTCTTTTTTAATAGAGGTTGGTCCATTTGTCATTTGGCCCCCTATTGATCCCATTTGGCATTGGCCAATTTCTAACACCTATTGATGCTTCATATGCATATCGTTCGAACAGGTGACTCCGGTATTAATCTGTTCACACACTGACGTAATGTTGCACATTTTCACATCATTTTGCAATTTGTAACTGTTTATTTACTTTTTCTGAATTTTTCATTTTGGACATTCATTTTGGACAAATCCATTTTTCATTCTCCTTGATACGGCTGAATATTAAATATTTTCCGGAAGTCTAAAGTGTGTTTCTTTTCGATTCTAAAAATATGAAATATATAATATATGTATCCCATATACGTGCATACGTGCATCTATAGTTACTACTTGAATAATGCTTGTACTTCGATCGAAACATGACAAATATAATCGCACGAAGAGATAACGGACCTGAATTTGAAAATGAATCAGTATAAGGAAGAGGCTGAGATACTTTCGAACTGAAGAAAAGCAGTGCCCAAGGTTGACATAATGTAAGAGCATCGCTGACGTATGGAGATAATTGGTGGGTAATTTTAGCCCAAATTGTGTATGCGTGCGAAGAATTAAATAGAGAATAAAATAATAGCTGCAAGAAATGAATGATTAATGATAGTTTTCGAAAAAATACCGTATTAATTCCAGCGAAAATCTGAATGATAAATGAGATTGAGCTTGAGAAGAGAAGGTTCTTTTCAGCTGTTGAGATTTTACTTTCAAGTATTGCAAGTCTGGCAAAGGAGGCGAGATTGAAAAACGATGTAATTATACTACATATGAAGATGAATCGCAACAAATTTGGCAAATACTCGGACGCTGGCTCAAATAAAAACACTGGAAGGAGAAAATTCAGAGTGTCTCACCACAATAGTTTCACTATAATAAAAATCTGAAATAGCGTTGTAAATATAGAATGACTTATTGATCAAAATCTTGTAAGTGAGAGCCAGTGGTGAAAAGAAAATAAAAAGGATCGATGGAACAAATATTTTCCGCCAACTGGATTCGTACGAATGGAATGAGTAGATCATAGTGAATCGATTTAACGCGGTTAAAAATGTCATCAAATATTGGACATAAGCCATGTGAACATGCAAAGTATGGCAGACATTGAGAACGATCGAAACGTCTTCCATCGACTCGGGATATCGATCGAACACCGGCGCGAATAAACACTCTTTGCAAGTGTTTTGTGGGATTCTCAGCGTCACAAATGAGTTGAGAAATGTCAGAAGATTCTGAAGTCGTTTGATGTTTTGTGATAATCGAATTTCATTAATATGAGATTACCACGAAAAAATCGACAATGTAGATTTGAAAGAAAGAGCCGCCGAGCTCTTTCCAGTTTCGATAAATCAATATGATGAGCATCGTATAGATAATAAAGGTCCCGAACCCGTATATTAAACTTATTGCGAATTGCAACTGCATTTCGCCGTAGACAAAATAATTCAAATTTCAGACAAAAACAATTAAAATGAATGTGTATTCCTTTCCATGCCGCAAGATCAGAAAAATTATCATTGAATAAATAACGAATGTTCCGAAACCGTAAATCAAGCTTATAAGGAAATCCAACGACATTTGACAACGTGTTTTTAGAGAAATTTATGGCTTCACACGACGAAGTTTGGAAAAAATGTATTATTCTTGAATAACCGTGGACAAACGTTTTTGGGTGATGCAGAATATTCGCACATCGCTTTTTTTAAATTCAGAATTTTTCGATTTTCTCATGTAATCCATTTATAGCATTTGAAAACGTTCAGAAACCTAAAAAATATTGACATGAATTATTTTGAGGTAAGGCGTCCACGCGGACGAACTATTGATGGACGGCGGCCATCTGTCCGTCCTCGTCCGCGGCCATACGTTTATTTTGTTCATCGAAATTTCTAATTTGTTTTTTTTTGGCAATTTCATTCATTTTTTTCTGCATTTTTCGCCTATAATTGTTTAAAAAAATGTGAATGTTAGTTTAAAATGCTTAGTTTTTTTATTTTTCCAGTACAGAGAGCGTTTGAGTTGGTCCGAGTGAAAAAAAACCGTATTCCACAATAAAAAACAATTACAAAGCGATTTCATATCCAGTTATTATGCGAGAAAAATTATTAGTGACGATTGTGGAAGCTTACAGGTTGATTTAGATGATAATTTCATGGGCATAACGCAAGTGATTTGTAAATGTAATGAAAAATGCTCATAATTAGGCAGAATGAGGACAGCAAATAGTAAAATAATTACATAATCTCACGATAAGTTAAGAATTATATTTCAGGATGCGCAGAAATGGAAATTTTCGAAAAAGTGGGAAATGCGGAAATGCTGTCATAAAATTAGATTTCCGTAATTTTGATGCAATAATTATCAAACTTGCTTACTAATTGTTATATCTTCTGTAATATTTCTTAATTTTTTTAACGAACTCAAACGAACGAATCCAAACGTCCGGGCGGCAGACGGGCGGACCAATTGCCCGTCTGCATTGGATGCCCTATTTTTACCTGGTCCACCATTATTACAATCAGAATTCAAGATTGTCGACTCCTGAATAAAAAATTAGTCATACGAAAATAAATTTGATCGACCTCACTGTGTCTCAGTTCCGCTATTTTCATTCATTTTATTCGGTGCAGCTTTTCAAATATCTGCCAATTCGTCCGTTTATGTCCGTACTGTTAATTTCTTGTCTGGAATGTTCTGAACGTTTTATGAGACAAAAATATCTCTCCGTGAGAGAAAGAACATTATGTGAAAATACCGGGATTGAAATTTTTTTGTCAAACATTTTTAGAGTTGATTCCTTTGGAGTCCCTCGTGATTTGAGTAAAAATAATAAATCATGTTTGCACTTTACACGTCGTTTTTTGTTTTTTGATTTTTTTAATGCCGCAAATAACCGCAGACATTTTTTTTATAACATCTGTCATTTCATTAATAATTAATTCTTAGTTGTTCATTGTCAAAATGATCACTCAATGATTAATGAAAAGTTGTCCCAGCCGAGTCTGAAATGTGGGTCTTTGAGAATGACAAAAATTAACCTATTCACGTGGCTCTTGAGTGTCAACAATTTCGGGACTCATGCGAACTCGAGTTGATGGCAAATAAGTGTTTGAAAATGAGTTTCGAATCTGAAACTAATGCAATTTGTGAGGAAATAATCAAAACTCAAACCTTGGGACTAAAAATCAGCAATGCCCAAGGTTGGCATAATGTGAGAGCATCGCTAACATACGGAGACAGTTGCTGGGGAAGTTTTCCCCAAAACGTATTCAAATTCGAATCGGTCACCAAATAAGTGAGAGCGAGCTGGACAATTTCAATGAATTGGCTCGAAATCGACTTACCGTATTCGTGCCGGCAAAAAATTGAATCACAAATGTCGAGAAGCTCGTATACAAAAGATTTTTCTCAATCGCCGTAATTTTGACGGGAAACATTGCAAACTTGATCAATGCCGCCACATTGAACATCGCTGTGAATAAAGTAACAACAAAAATGAATATAAGAAGATCGGATAGGATTTTTGTGAGTTCCTAAATAAATGCATTCAAACGTGAAATACAGTACGCGTCATAATGATACGCCAACCCCCAAATTTAGCAGTTTCGAGGACCATTGAAAACCTATATGTGCGTATATTCATGAGGGTCCGTTGGTCATGAAAATACGCACAAATATGTTTTTTTTTTGTCCTGAATTCGAAAATGAAATTGTTTTGTCACCAATTTATATGGTTTTTTCGAAACTGCTAAATTTGGGGGGTGGCGTATCATTATAACGCGCACTGTATGTAAAAATGGGGGTAAAAAACCAAAGTCGACTCGATATAATAATAATCTAGAGATTCAAGATACGCATAATATGACTTATTAATCAATATCAGATACGTGCGGCAGAAAGGGCCAAATAGAGTAACCAGTAATAATGAAAATAAAATTTTTTTCCAATTCTGAAACAAACGATTAGACATCAAAGATGAATACGAGAGCCTACTGCTTCATATGAGCGAAACCAAAAAATCATGGTGAATCGATTAATGGCGGCTAATAGAATCGTTCCATATTGCACATAGGCCATATGGATGTGAAGAGTATGACAAATATTTATCAAAATAACTCGGTGCTCCATTTGTGCATTAAATATTTTGAATATTGTGGAGAAATAGCATTCTTTACAGGTATATTGTGGAATTCGCAATGTTATAAACGAATTGAGAAATGTTAGAAGATTCTGAAACGTCGGAATAAAATAATCTAGTGGTGTTCAGCTGACTTGCCGCTAGATAATCGACAACGTAAATCTTGAAAAATGATCCAGAAAATTCTTTCCAATCGCGAAATATCACAATAATAATCATTGTATAGATAATAAATGTGAAGATGCCATAGATCAAACTGATCGCAAATTCCATCTCACTTGAATTGAGATTAATGAAACGAATTTGTATTCTATTAGCATATCCTACGAGGGCATTTCAATTTGAAATCATGTTTACTCAATTTGGCAGAGTAATTGCAGGTGGCGACAATTATGTAGTTCATAGCCTAATATGAACGCCTAGACATGTAGGCGAGAGTAAGTCGCGCAGAAAAAAATTATATGAACTTCCTGAAAACCCGCTAGTTTTGAACTTTGGAAGAATTATTAAGAGAGAGGAAAATATATATAAATTGGGGGGTTGGAAAGCTTTGGTCAAAAGCCTAATAATGAACCAATTACAAGCTTTGGATGATTGAGCAAGACGGATTAAGGTAATGCCTATTTTTTTTCAATTCTGTTTTCACTTAAACTATACAATTGTCCCATTGCTAAAATTAAATGACATCAGACAGATTTTTTTTCAAATTTTTTTCTCTGAAATAATATTTGGCTGAAAGACTATCATACAACCCAATAAACAAAAACACATAATATAGCAGAACAATCTGAGAAGAATTGTGATATGATTTTAAAATAATGTACATATGCAGTAATATTGAGCATATTTGATACTCAGACAACGCGTGAATTAGTGCGATTAATAGTTCCAATAAAAAATAGAGCAAATTCGTTTAATCAAATCTCAATATCTGCAATTTTGTAAATCAGTTATTATACATAGCCAATTATTCTATAAATTGATTTATTTTGTTTGTAAAGTTCGTACGCTGTTATCAAGCATCGTCACGTTCTTTCTCATTTTCTATTCTTGATTTTCGGCAAAATATGAGAATAGGTTTTGGCGAAATATTGACGAACCTTAATTATAAATATTGAACATAGTTTTGAGTATTTCTACCTTTTTGCTGAAAATGAGCAAAGTCCAAGGTTGGCATAGCGTTAGAGCATCACTGACATAAGGCTTCAATATTTGAGGTAGTTCTCCCCAAAATGTGTTCATATTTGATTCATCCACCAGAAATGCGAATGCCATCTGTTAATATGATAGTTTTCAGAAATCGCTCAACTACAACTCACAGCGTTGGCCCCAGCGGAAAGCTGGATTAGAAAAGTGGCAAAACTCGCGAAAAGGAGATTCCGTTCGGCCACGGAGATTTTCGCAGAAATCATTGTCAATCGAAGAAATGCGACGATGTTACACCATAATGTGATCAGAGTCACAACAAATATGAACACGGATAGATTCGATTTAATGCGAGTCCGATCCTTAATTATAGCCATTTTTTGAGATATCATCATGATTGCCCAACCAACATCGTTTCAATATAATATAGATCAAGCTGATTGTCATACACATAGAATGTCTTGCTCACAAGAATATAATATGTTTGGAGGAATGGGAAAAATATGATAATGAAAATGAGCAATATCCAGATGTGTTTCCAATTCTTCAAGAAGACGATACTCTGATAATTGTTCTAGGCGATTTTCTACTTGCCGGCTCATTGTCACGAAACCAAAGAATCATTGTCAATCGATTGAAGGTTGTTAGAAAAATCATCGAGTTTTGCACATACGCCATATGATAATGAATCGTATAACAGATGTTTAGAGCTATCGATGCTTCTTCCATCGAACAGCTGAATTTCTCCAGGACTGGCGACAACACACAGGTTTTACACGTGTTCTGTGGAAGCCTCAATGTGATGAATGAGTTCACAAATGTTAGCAAGTTCTAAACATCGCATATTCAATATCGAAATATATAGTTGAATAATCAAACCACAAAATAATCAACAATGTAGATTTTGAAGAATGATCCAGAGAAGTGTTTCCAGTGAAAGCAAATCGTGAAAATTATCATTGTGTAGATTATAAATGTGAAAATACCGTATACCAAACTCACAAATAATTGAACAAACATTCTTAGACAAGAATTGTTTGAAGAAAACCGATTCGATAAGATCCGCTTCAATTTCCTTCTATTTTTCCGGTTTTTTATTGTTTTTTTGTTACATGCACATATAAAAATATGAATTTTGTTACAAATTTATTGAAACCATCGAAATAATTATTTTGTCACGCTTGGAATTATTGCTTCCGACGCATTCAATCCTAAAATCTCTTATTATTATCAAATTGCATTAATTCAGATCCGGACCTTCGTTGCCGTCGTGTTGGCATCGTCGATTCCTCAATTTGCAATTTCTTCAATAGAACGATGCATGTCTTCAGAAGATGTAGCTTAACTTTTCGGCTAAAAATGAGCAATACCCAAGGTTGACACAACGTGACAGCATCGCTCATATATGGGGATAGGTTTTGTGGGTGTTACCTCCAAAATGGATTCATTGCTGTTTCCCTCCTTATATAGAAAATGGCAATCTAAAATTTGACAAAACAAACTTGGCTGAGAAATCTGACAATTTCTTATAGTCTTCCGCTAAAAATATGGCCAAGTGTTGCTAAGAAACTGCAACGGAATCTTAAAGTTTGTAGCCAGCCCATACCGACCATTTCTTAGCAAACCATCAGCAATTTCTTAACAAACTTCAGGAAATTTCTTAGAAGAATTCTATAAGAAATTGTCCAAAGATTGCTTTAAAAATTGCCGCCAATTATGGAGAAAAATCATATGTACATAGCAACGACTTACTGTATTGGCTCCTGCGATACACTGAATAAAGAATGTCACGAAACTAGTCAAAAGAAGATTCCGTTCAAGTTTGGATATATTCACTGGAAACATTCCGAGTCGCAAAAACGAAATGAAATTGAAAAACGCGGTGAAAAGAGTGACAATGAATATAAATATACATAAATTGTATATGATATTTTGTCGATCCTAAATTTCGTCTAATAATTATTTTAAGAAATGAACCCAAATTGAATACCATTGTCGAACTGATATAATAATAATCGAATTCGGCATCATACCTGTAATACGATTTATGCAAAAGTATTGGGTGGGTTTGTGTGAAAGGGAAAATTACAATAATTAATATAAATAATAACCATGTGCGATTCCAAACCTGAAATTAAAAATATTAAAATGAAAGGACCTGGATAATTATGTAAAATGCTAACTTTGTTCTTTGAAATTCTAAATCTAAGAGTCTTTGGTAAAAAAAAATTGTGTAATTTACTTTTTCATATGAACTGTAAGAGAATATCATAGTGAATCGATTAATCGAAAATATAAATATAATTGAATATTGCACATATGCCAAGGAAATATGAAGGTTATGGCAGATATTCAGAAGTATTGAAATATCATCCATCTCGGAATTGAGCCTATTAAACCATGGGGCAAATAAGCAACTCGAACACGTATTTTGAGGCAATCGCAATGTGACAAACGAATTGAGAAATGTCACAATATTCTGTGGGAAAATTGACGAGTCTACTCAATTTCAGATGAATCCTACCACAAAATATTCGAAAATGTAGATTTTGAAGAATGATGCGGAAAAGTCCTTCCAACTGCGAAACATTGAAACTATGATAATTGTATAAACGAGAAAAGTGAGAAACGCGTATAAAATACTAATTCCAAAAATTAACGACATTCTGAAAGACATGTGTATGAATGTAAATCAAAAGCTAGATATGATTACTATTTATAAATCTCAATTTTTTATAAATTCAATGAAGATTCCTTTGCGTTTCAATGAACATCGAATTTGAAGCACGAAATCCAACTAAGTTTGAGAAAACTTACGAGGCCAAATGGTTCACGAAGGGAAACAATTTATCGACCCTAGACAGATTAGAGCATATCTGTTTTCTTATGAAAATAAATATATAATAAACACAAATTAACAGAATTTAGGCAGGCATTAGGCGGAAAAAATGCTTTTCGGTTAGGCATATAATTATAGCCGGCATAAGTTTAGCTTCTTGAAATATTTTGAAGACGTCACAGATTTGATATTTATTATCATCGACACACAACATTGAATCTAATATCTTGCGCTCTGACATTCATCGCCGATAGTGGACTCAATATGATCCGTCTTGATCCACGAGTCCGACATGGATCTCTGTGGAAAATAGTTGAAGTCGTTGCTAGTTGACGGCCCGCGTCCAAATGGCTCCAGTCTGGCTGTTGTAGCGATGCTCGCCGGTAGGTCAACAGAGCTTCGAGAAGTCGCTGAAACTAGCACAACTTGTTAAGGAAATCATTTCGATTTGAGACATTAAAACGAACAGAAATAAGTTCTCAATTCGTGATTTTTGTGCTCAATCAAAAAAGCTAACATATTTTAAATTTAAAGATACAGTGCGCGTCATAATGATACGCCACCCCCCACCAAATTTCGCAGTTTTGAGAAAACCATATAAATTGGTGACAAGAAAATTTCATTTTCGAATTCAGGACCATTGAAAACCTATACACGCGTATTTTCATGATCATGAAAAATGTTATACATATTTGTGTTGATTTGATGCAGACTTCGCTCGATGACGCTTGTGATGAATTTTTAACGTCGATAAAAAAATATACTTCTACAGATTTCTTTTATTTTTCAAATTTTTCAATTTGAATTGGATCTTAAAAATTACCAATGCGATCCGAAAATACTCAAAAAAAAACCAATGGAACCCTACAATTTTACAATCTCATCCATAGAATTTCAAATCGGATCGGGTTGATTCCGGAGCCGATTTTTGTCGGATCCGATTTTTTTTGAGTTACCAGAGAAACAACTCAAATCTCACAGTGAAAAAACCAACAAAAAGATTCCTGTATGATTTAAATTCATTTTTTGAACGGCAAAAGTGAAACTTAAAACTTTAAAAATTTTAATCTTGTTTCACACTACAGGGTGCGCCATAAATACGGAGCCGCTTTCAAAACGGTGTTAAAAGATTAGTTGTACCAAGCTTTTTGAACCGATTGAGAGTTTTGTTCACCGCCGATTTAGCCACACCGAGCTTCTGAACGATCTCTGCCGAACGCATTCCAAACTTCGATAACTCAACGATGGTAGCCCTGAACGGGAAAGCTGCTGTCATAACCTTAAAACGAATTATATCGAGCTGGAACTTAACAAACTAGTAAAACATAAAAAAAAAAAACTTTTAAAAAATAATTGTGCACAATTAAATGGGTACTGTAGGCGGCAGAGTTGACGCAAAGTTGCGGCTCCGTATTTATGGCGCACCCTGTACTATCAGACACATAACTAATGCCATATAAACAGTTTCAACGGTACATCGAGTTTGGGTGTTTTAATATATTGTCGACGTCGCGCGACTGCGAAAAATTGGCTAAGTGCCCAAAAACGAGGTCTCGGTGCGCGATGTGCTCCTTTAACCTTATTCTTATATAGAGACCCGTAAATCTACACTTTTAGTTATGCGCCAAGACCACTGCGGTTGTTTTTTTGGCCAGTTTTCCGTAATCGTGTGACGCCAACAATAATAACACCTCGTTTTGGTTAATTTTATGGTGGAAACATTATTTCTTCGAGAATTTTGTTTCATTCGCAAATAATTGTTTCCAAATTACGTATAGGCCGATTCAGAGAAAAAACGGATACCTGTCTCGTCAAGTTTTTTTGCGAAAAATTACCTACTAATTATTTAAGTCCATGGTTGATTCCGGTTTCTCCAAAATTCATTTTCTGATTATTGGATTGGAAAAAAATTTTTTAAAAAAATCAAAGATCCCCATTCTGGTAGCCGATGCTTTTCGAAACAAACTATACTTTGGTCGGAAATTAGTACTTGACGATCTGTGCTGGAGAAGCTACGATACTTTTTTGGCATTTGAAAGAAACACCAGCTTTTTTCCACGTTCTAGAGCAGAAATTAAAATCCCTCTAACTTTGCGAGTTCGTTCTCGGGAAACGCCAGAGCCAGGCTTGTCGTTTCGCCAGATCCGAGAATCTTCATCAAATATTGAAGGATTTCCATATCCAAACTATTAAATTTGCAAAAAAAAAACGCGCACATGTGCGTTATAAAATCATTTCTAATAATGATTTCTTCACTGCTATGGTATAAATACCTTGACCCACTTTGTATCAAAAAATTTTTTATATATATACCATAGCAGTGAAGAAATCATCATATTTGTGTTGATTTGATGCAGACTTCGCTCGATGACGCTTGTGATGAATTTTTAACGACCGCTTTTTTCCGACCGCGACGCATACGCAACGCGGACGATTCTCGGCCGCCCAAGCGCGCCAATTTGAATAGTCGGCTTCCAGCTACGTCCAGGCTCTCTCTCTCTCTCTCTCTCTCTCTCGATAACACGGATTTTTTCCATTCAATTTTCATGTATTTTGCTATCGATTCATCCATTTTTCCGAGTAATTATGTAAGAAGTATAACCTATGGCCACTTTTGAAATAATTTGTTCAATATTTTTAATGAAAATGTGTCTAATATTCTCAATTTCGGCCGATTTGCAGATCTCCTCGGATTATTTTGTTTTTCAATTATTTTCTATCGCAATTTATAGCTGAATTGATTTAAAACCATTGAGATTTATGGATCTGGATTTTGCAAGACTGACCACCATAAATGGGAATGCTTGGAAATGCATTTAAATCTATAGTATTCTTGAAAGGCGCTTGCAAAAATGTGTTCAAAAAAAAATTGTTCATCTAATTTTCAATTAGTAAAATAATGTTTTTTTTTTTCAATAATTGTTTTATTGATAAAAACGAAATCCAATTAAAATTGTTCATAGAAAGGAACTTTATTTTCAATTCAAAAAAAAAAGAGGAAAATTTTTCAATCAAGTTCGCTGTCAACAATTTCCGTTTTCGTCGACATTCCATCTCAAAATCGCAACAATTTCAGCTGGCATTTCATTGTTTCGTTTTCCATTTTCTCAGCATTTTGTTCATTTTCTCTCGGCGAAAAAAAAACATGAAAAATTCCTGCTCCAAGTAATAATGCATAATTTGTGCACTCGGCCGAGCATGCCGTTTTTCACAACAAAAAAAAAGCATATATGTTGAGTTTGTTTACTTGTTTATTAATATTCCCCCATAAAAATTTTTCGAGCTGTTAAATTGTCATCCAATTTTTTATTTGACCAGGTGTGCCAACTACGGCAATTCGTTCATTGTGTGAACATTTTACACCACTGTTCATTTTTTTTTTCATATTTTTTATTCCCACAAAATCCATCTGCAAATTGTAGTTCTTGAATATTGATAAGTATGTTTAACAATTTTGCAATATCCATTTTTTTAAACATTTCAATGTAAATACATAATGTTTTCTGGATTAAAACGAAACATCCATCAAGAAGTTTTTTTTTAAAGCGATTAGATTTTCTCATATTATTAACCAACTTGAGCTTATTTGGCTTTTCAAAACTCGCTCGGGATGTCTTAATTTTGAGATATCGAGCATTGCAATTAATTTTCCATTCTTGAGTGTTTTAAAAGTGACCAGAAACATGCGGCCCTCGACTTATTCCAAGTGTGCAGCCGTCATTCTTCCGAAAACCCCCCCCCCCAATCAAAACTCACAATTCGTCGTCTCTGGAGTGTATTTCGGCGGTGTTGATGACTTCATCGAATCCTCATAAGTCGGCGGAACCGGTATCAATGCCGCCGGATTGAGCACATATTCTGAAAATATCAAATTTTGCTTCGTACCCTTCTTTGGCTCAAAATTTTCATTTTGATACCACATTTGAAAGCGAACACAAGCAATAAAAGAAACAAAAAGCGTATTGTGAACACTGCTAATTTTCTGCTTCTATTGAAAAAAAAGATACTCTTTATATCTCTCGTTTTGACGTATTATGTATGTGAGTGTTATGATCAAAATATGTTCAACTTTCTTCATGCGACATGAAACATTTTGTCTCGTGATTCACAAGTTTCTCAATGTTGAAAGTTGTCATCATTTGTTCCAATTAACCATTGTATTCTTAGTACTAGTTGGATTCAATTTCAACATTCAGAGACTACAATTAATTTTGCGCATATAATTTTTGCTAATTGGGGTTAACTAAGATTATTAAGATTCCCTTTTTTTTTAAATGTTTCTATAATCCATCGATTTTCGCCGATTATTCTGACGACTATCAATAGACTTTTTATGAGTAATCCGACGTCAAAATAATGATTTTTGATTCAATTATTTTCAAAATCCATTTTCCAAATTTTTTTGTTTTTTTCTTGAAACTTGCGAAAATACTTTTGTTTCGAAGTGTACACCAGATGTTTTTTTTTGTGTGTATGTGTCTTAAAAGAAACTCTCTTCCTAATCGACAATTACCCAGTGCTCATTTTGAGGTCATTCATGTCAAGACCTATTAACGTCGAACAATTTATTTCTCGTCCTAATCTGAATTCAATTCATTCTTCATCGAAAATATAATATGATAGATATTAAAAAGGAGAATTTTGGATTTTAGCATTCAATATTGTCTGGGTGGAACAAATTTTTTTACGCATTTTTTATTGAAAAAAATGAGAAACAATTTTTATTAACGCATAAAAACGCAAACAACGCGTTGTAAAAATGCATTAAAAGTGGGCAATATCGTGTCAATGGAATACATCAACCATTTCGAACACCTTTTTGACCCCCCAAAGCTCAATGGAACTGAAATTACCATACCTATGAGTTCCTAGATAATGTTACATTCTTAGAATCCCAATAACTGGTGGGAATTCCTACTAACTAATTTATAGAAGCGTTATGCGATAAACAGTTGTTTCCAAATCAAAACAAATTTGTTTTTCGTTTCAAATTATTCTAATCCGACAAATTGTTCGACGACAATATTCCAATTGTAGGAATTCGTAATTTGCTCAAAAATGAGCCAATAACAAACATCGAGCAGCAATTCATGAGCTAAACTCAGATATTGAGATGCACGAGGTTTTGTGGGACGCAATTTAATGTGATTTGATGAATTGTTGGCAACATTCGTGCGAAACACGTCACTCATTTATGAGTAAGCCCCCCGAAATTCATCAGGTCGACATAATTAGATAGCGATTCGAGTTTTGAGCCTATTGCATAATTTATGCAATGAGTGCCGTGCCGTTTTGTTCGGCCGCCGAACAATTTCGCCGGGCATCATTCTCCCGTTTTCTTTTTTTTTAATGCTCCAACAAGAACACGAAGAAAACCGACGTTGTTTAATCACAAACGCGAATCTCGAACGCAATAATACAATGCACTTTCTTGCGGGTCCCATTTTTCGGCCATCGTGCTTTTTTATGATCCTACCCCATCATCTACTCTTTGTTTTTTCGCCCAGAAGGCGAACACGTGTTGCCCCCCACACACACAAGATTTGCTCAATTTCGCATTGTTTCTTATCTACCAATATCCTCCAACTCCATTCTCGTCAAGCCTTCTTATTTCTTTTACCTGTCATCGTTCGTTCAAATTTTTGAGAGGCGAAAACCGGGGGAGCCAAGTTCGAGAATAACGTTCATGGTCCAATGCTTCTACTCATTTCAGATGCCTGACATTTTCATTCTTGTTTACTATTTGAGTATAAACAATCTCCAATGTTCTCTCAATTTCGCCTTTTTGTTCCTCGTCAACGTTTTCATCTACAGTATGACTTTGGAATTCAATTTATGTAAGCATCGCATCACTTAAAGTTTTTCTGAGGTAACAAAAATATTTGGGAAATTTACAGTATTCTAAAAATCACTTTTTTCCATTAGTTAAATGTGAATCAAATCAAATACCATAATATGTTTTGATTTGACATTAATTTGAAATGAACTGATCTCTTGCCACACCCATAATTTTTTGCTATAGGAAAGAAAAATAATAGCTTAAAACAGGATCCATGTATATACAATGAATTCAAATTTGTTTTGCAAATCTACTCCGCTTTTAGAGTGGCTCATTGCTGCCGACATATTCAACACAAATTTGAAGCGTCTTGAATACTCATGGGTTGCATATCCAATTTAGACAATTAACATGGCCTCCTCCAATTCCTCTTTATTTCTCGTCACCAGCCAAACACCCATCAGCCACCCATCACCAACCACCAGCGCCAAATGCAACTGCTCATCTTTAGAAGCCATCTGTCTTCATTTATACATTTCATATATCGTTGCCATTGTTGTTTTGGTGTCGGGAGCAGCAATGTTATATACATAGGTGCTAAAAAAAACACTTGGCCAATGCTGGAGACTATATCATTTTTCAAGCATTTGAAAAATGATCTTGGGAAAGACCCCTTTGCTGCAAACATCCACTCACACACACACAAATACACAAAAAAAACACGCACATGTGATGGCTATATGTATGTGTCCGGATACATTTTGTTGAACTTCGTCTTCTTTGAGCTTTTCCATTTTTTTTTCCAACATGTTCAGCAGCGGTGCCACCGCCGCCGCCAACTTTTCTCTCATGTGGTTCCGGCGGTTTGTTTAATTTTTGTCGTTTCGCGCGATTCCGACTCATAAATTGTCGGCAGATGTGATCATCGTTAAAGTGAAGTGCTCTCGCATTCAATGATAATTCAGTGCCTCCCACAAAATGATTTTCTCTTCCCTCCGTCCTCCCACCTTGAATAATTGAAGGCGGGCTCTAATTGGTAGCCGCAAAAAGTGAAATCTATCAAATTTTTAACAATTTTCAATTCAAAAAATCTAGCGAGTTGAGATAGCGAAAATGCTTGAAAATTTCTCATGCTCTTCGAATATTTCGCCTAGTTCTTTACGGTATGAAAAGATCACGAAAATGCATTGCTATTTTCTCATGGCGACGAAAAAAAAAACAAAAATGCCGGTGGGAAAGTCAGCAGGACATTCGAGTTAATTTTATTTTTTGGGTTCTCGCGGTTAGGTTTGAATCACTTGCAACTCTCTTATTCACAAGTAGCGGCTGTAAAATCGAGAATTTGTTGCGGATTATGATGACTTCCTCATTTAAATAATACTAGCTTTTCACTTTAAATTCACCATATTCCAGGACCGATTTTGCATTTTTTACCTCGAATCTTCAATCAGCTCTCATCGAGGTTAAAAACCGCCAGATCAACAATTTTGTTTGCGAAACTCGAAACTGGGTAGAACTATTCAGGCGAACGCCCTTTATTCGTCTTGCCGAAACTTCAAACAATACCTGCGAACGTGTTTCAAAATCATTCTATTCTTTTCTTTTTTTTTACTTGTTCTCTTAGAACGACGAATTGGCGAACGCGCACCCACCCACAACACCAACCCATATTTGCACAGTTGCCGATTGCGTCTTATTATAGCGAAATTTATGTTAGCAATTTGTTTGGCGACTCGTCCGCACTCTCATACACGTGTGCGCATAAATGTGCGTCGTCGTCGGCTTTCGAGTGTTAAGCTCTAATTTCCTTCTCAACATTTAATCAAGCACCTATTGTGCGCATGCATTTATATAGCCCACTATGTGCTCATATGCTCACGCTCGCACGTCCTTTCGAGCACAACAAATATCCATTCTGAAAATGAAAAAAAAAGGAACTTGCAAGCCTTTTTCGTGTTCTTTCATCACACACACACACACACACACATAGAAAAAGCCTTGCGCATTCCTTTGAATATATTTCCACTTTTTTTTTCACATCTTCTTCCCGATTTGTTGTGTTTGCGAGTTTCGCCGGGCCGTACGCGCTGCGCTCTTTTTTCTTACCACAACCTCATTTTCTTCACATTTTTTTAGCGGTGATTGGTTTCGGTCTGTTTCGTTTTCAATAAATGCACCACTTATAAGATGGCCGCAATAAGTTCTCTACCACAATGTTTCTTCTTCTTCTTCTTCTTCTTCTCCAACATTTTTTTTCTCGGCTTCTTCGATGAAGAAGTGAGCGTCCATATTTGGCGTTCTTCTAGTTTCCAATTTACTAACTTCTACTTTCTACCGTATCCGTTTCAATCTCATTAATTTTCTTCGCATTCTCAAATATTTCATCGTTTTTTCGGTATTATTTAAGGCCTTGGAAAGGTTGTTCCTATAAAAAAAGGGGCGGAGCTTGTTGAGAAGCCTTTTCGAAACTCTTAAGCTGAAACCCTTATTTTGAGAATTTTTGAGTTAACCGTTGTTTGTTTGTTTTCATTTTGAGTATTTTGAGGATTTCCAACTCAAAAAAATGCAACATCGTGAAAATTTTGTCCGACAACACATTCCAACCAAAAGTGCAGAATTTCGAAGGAATTTCGGCGAAAAACCGCCCAATTAAAAATTCATGGAACCCTCTTTGCGGTTTACCAAAAATATCTTATACATACATATATTAGCTACCAATGACAAATTTGGCCTTGTTATTTTTTTTTCTCATCCGAGAAAAAAAAACTATTCGCGTTTTGTGAATAATTCAAAATGAGAAAATTTCGAGCGGTTCTTCTCCCATTTTTCGTTTCCCTCCTTGGCGTAAACGCGCGTCGCGTGTCCTGCGACGAAAAAAAAATAATTCGATTGTTTATTCTCTCACAATAAGACGACGAAGTCAGCCGGAAACGAAATCTATCCCACCCCCCTTCAATTCGAAAATGATTCAACTCGTCCGCCGTACATATTCGTATGCAATGAGCTGGCTAAGATGGCTTCAGCTATGTTTGAAGGCGATGACTTTGAAAACTAATTTCGAACGGATTAAGAATTTTAATAGATCGAAAGAAACTCTCCAGTGTGTTTGTGCATTCAAATTTTGTAGTGTCTAGGCACGAAAA